ACATGCAGTCTAGCAATATACATTTATGAGGGCATATGGCTAAGCCAGATAAAAATAAAAAATAAATGAACTTACTTCGTTTTAATGGGCCATCGCACAGTGTGCGATTTTTTGCTGGGGATTTCTTTCATTTCACAGGAGTTATTATAATATATTCATATATATTCTTTCTGACTTTAATAAAGCAATATCTCACCTGCCTTATAATTAATTGTACACAATGTCCGTAATGTATTATAAAGTCTACTTCAGTATAATTCGACTATCCCACATTTTCTATCTGGTTTCTTAAATATATATAATATATATATTTTCAATATATAAAAATAAATCGAAATTATTTAAATTTAGTTCCCAAGCAAAGGCTCTACTGTGCACTTTTTGTCTGGTTCACATGTGCTTTATATATTTGTCTGCACGAATCCAATTTCCAAGGTTAATGTTATATGTACTTTTATTTAGCTTGCAGACCAACTGCGGCAATGGCAATGGCAATGCCAGTAGGATTCAAATAAAATGTTCAAATAACCTCAAGGCAATGCGAGAACGCAACACATTAAAATGAGCAAAAAATTTTAATGAAAAACATGATCCACATAATCTAAAAAAATAAAAAATAAATGGTCGCTACCGACTAGTAAATACCCTGTACATATTAAGATTTATTATATTTTCATCACATATGATAAAAGTAGCAGATAAATTTAGGTAAATATTGGAACTAAACAATTACAATTACATACATTGACATGAAATCATTCTACCCTGTGTACCAATTTTTCAACAGGGTATTGAAAACCAGTCAGCAGATGTTACCCAAAAAATTTGCATATCTGGAGGGCAGCCAACATATATAATCAACTGGCAAACAACAAATCGCGATGAAGTTTGTCACTCAGTGATATACGGAGAACGTCTTGCCTTGTCAAAGCACAAAAACTACACTATGCCTTTCTTAGAAAGCTAGAACCATTTCTTTACGATCTATTAAAAACTTAATTAAGAAAATAAATCTCTATAGAAAATAATTAAGCTACATGTAAATAACATACTCTTTTTCAAGAGAAACAGTTTAAATTTAAATTCTGTGACCTTTAACTAAAGCCCAATGGATTTTCAATTCAGTGTGTCAAGTCCAAGATTTAAGCCCAGTTAAGCAAAGAACTTACAACCCAATTAAAATTATTTCACTCAGTTTATGCTGTTTATTAGCTAGAATTTAGACAGGCAAAAAGTAAAAATAAATAAACTATTTCGTTAGTTTGATGAGTTTCGACATGCAAAGAATGCTTCTTCGATCGTCAGGCAGATTCATGTTACTTCATGTGAAAAGACGGAAAGACAACGTGCAAATGCTAGAAAAGCATTTGCCAACTCGAGAAAGCAATAAAGGCTCCTGCCCAAATAGAATTAAATCGAACATGTGCATGCTAAATATAATGATATATACACAATACATATATATATATATATATATATACATATGTATATGTAGACACAGTATATTTGTGTATTGAATCGTCCAAAAGGTTAAAGCCAGAAAATATTTATAAAAGTGCGCGTTGTTGCCTAACCCAAATTCGATTGAACTCTGCAACGATTTTCATTTAGTTCACAGCCTTAAGCTATGTCAGTTTCAGCATTTTCAGATTTACTGGAGCCAGCAAGCAGCCAGGCAGGCAGGCAGGCATGCAGTGCTGTGGCTGCTGTAAATGATTTGCCAGCATATTTCAAACGCATTTAATGGCATTGCTCATTTGTCTACCAGCAACAGAATCTGCTTGTGGCCTGCCAAAGCCACAACTACAGCCACAGACTTGCACTTCGCCATTCGCACAGGACTTTATCGAACGAGAACTGGAGAGTGAACTGCTTAGAGTGAAGGTGTACGGATGCCATATATATGTGTCAATATATATATAAAATAAAGTATTTGTGGTGCTTTAACTTGCGGTGTAAACACATACAACAGGCCAAAATATTGCAAGCTTTTGTTTACGATTTGTTGAAGTCTTTAAAAATATGTCCCCCTAGTCAACTTTTAATCCAACTAGTGTTACCTTTGTAAAACCTTATTTTCAAAGAGCTATAATGATTAGGTAAGTAAATTAGGAATAGGAAGACTTCAGTTAATTAAGTATATTTTGATTATTATTTATTGATCTATTGATTTATAAGGCAAGATCGTGGCCAATAAAGCTGCTGCGCATGAAAACCATTTTTGATTAACAGATAAGCTGGCAGAATAGAGGAGAGCTGATTTGAAGAGTGTTTGTTAGCTGCTGTGCCACACAGTTTTGGCATAACAAGTTATAATATATTTATATACATATTATATTGGTCAATAGCTGTACTTTCTCTAAATGTGAGCCTCAATAATTTATAAAAAATGTATTTCACTGTGATTTACTAAATTTTAACAATTGAATACTGAAACATTATGCTTTTGTGATGATTTAAGTTTTCTGAATATTTTAATATATTTGTATTTATTTGTATTGAGTTTGCCGACCGAGCTTTATTCATTCATTTGCTTCGAGCTATGATTTAACCTTAACTACAAAAGCTAAAGTGCAAATATTTATTTATATATATATATATATATATATATATATATATATATATATATATATATATATATATATATATATATATATATATATATATATATATATATATATATATATATATATATATATATATATATATATATATAATATATGCGTGTGTGTTTTATGTATGTATATGTTTGTAATTATTTAGTTATTCTTTATGCAAAGCTTTTACGGTAAAATCTCAGTTTTTCATTTTGTTAAATTTTATCTTTTTTTTGTGTCAACTGATTATCCTTGATTGAGTATTAAGCTTTTATCATTATCCTCGCTAGCCTTTATGTTGGCAAAGATTTAACATTTTCCAAATTTGGCAGTCATAAGCTTTGTGATCAAAAATATAATCTTATTGAACTATTAAGTCACTTGTAAACGAGTTAATCATGCATTTACCGGATAGCATTTGCAAATATATCAGATATATTTATATTTTATTATTTTTCGGTTATTACAGTTTCCCTGGATACGACAGCGCAAGAATTCTTAAAGTTTGCAGTTTTGAGAAACATAGATGCGCAGGGCACATATAATTGGCACACTTATGTCTCTGAAGTAAACGCCATAGTAATGGGGAAAAGGTAATTAACATGAACTTAATTTAGATAGGGACATGAGGTGAAATAATGTGACATGCTTAGAGTCCCGAGAGTCCTTTACATTAAAGGTGTACGCTAAGCAGCTTGTGAGCACATCAAAGGCAGCTAAGGCGATAAGAAATTGGTTAGGATTCTGGTGTGTTGTGCTGTGGCTGTGCTCGAGGGATTTACGAAGCCGCCAAGTGCATCGCCCTGTTAAGTGGATGCCGTCTAAATGAGCAATACCCTCAAATAGTGTCATGTAATCAAATTTGCTGGCTATCCAAAGCCTGGCGATTCTCGTGGGCAATTCTATATCATAAGGGCAGCTGCATAACTACGAACTTAATTAATCAACGTTTGAACAATGTCATGAATAGTAAGCTCACTCACTTAGCTATATATTTTCATATGTTTTATTTGCAAATTTTCAAATACATATGTACATTTTTGCTTTTAACCATTTGCTCAGCGAATAGAAATTTATTAAAAAGTTACAGTAATACGTTTATTCGACAGCTTAAAGCTGAGTAAGCATTAAATTGATGAGACACAAAAACTGTTGGTGACTGCGTTTTTCAATAAAAATTTGATCAGGAAATCGTATACAACAGAGTTGGAAGAGCAAGAAAATTACAAGCAATTATGTCTCGATCTCAATTGAAGGATTCGTATTAGGATTCAATCGGATCTGAAATGTATCATGAGCTACAGACTATGGCTACATGGCCATGTACAAAGAGATCACGAAACGAACAAATCTTTTTTCTCTCTTTTATGTAAATATATTTTAATATATTTAACAATTTTGCAAAATAGCAAAATTTCTAAATGAGTTAAGTTCCTTTCTGGGAACTATTATTAGTTATCGAATTATTAAAGCCATATTACGAATCTCCTCCTCTATATCAGACCTATTGCCTGCCAAAAGCATATGCTCATTTACTCCTTACTGTTTTGACAAGTTGAAAGTCTTGTGTTTTGGTCCTGTCTTGTAGTTCATGTATGATTCATTTTATTTCTTCCAGCAATTTAATCTTATGTTGTAAGTCAATAAAAGTCAAACACAATCAGTTTACCAAGAAACCAAGCAATAAATATATAAAATACATTAAGCGATTTGTTTCTACGATTAAGACCTAAAATCACATTGCATGAAACTCTTTTCCCCCAATAATTCGCGCGAAATATATTATCATAATAAGTTTTTAAGCGCGCATTAATTAGATTTTCAATGCTGGCCTAACACACACGAGACGCTTGTGCCGACCGCCAAATTAATGCGAAAAATTTAATTCGAATTGAACTTAATTAAGATAAGTGCATGAGGTGAAATAATTTTGCATACTTAGGGGTTCGAGAGCAACACAAATTCATGTGGCGTGTGCTGGCAGCAAAATTCGTGCCAAGCAGCTTACAGGAAAATCAAAGGCAGCTGCTGCGATAAGTTTAAGGCGCTAAAACAGGTTTGTGGCTTGGCTTGGAATGCTTTGTCGGGGCTGGTGGAGTTGGCCTAACCACCAAGTGCATTTCACACATAAGTAGACAAACATTGCAGCAGGCCAAGTACTGAGGCTAAGTCAAATAATGTAAATATCTAATTTAAACAAATAAACGCATCTCTTGGGCAGGAAAATGTAATTAGAATTTTAATAAAAATCTAAAAATATACCTAATATTTATTCTTAGCGTTTGATTACAGACATATAATTATAAGTTTCTTTGTTTTTGTGTTTGAATTCTCAACAGCACAAGCCTATCAGCATTTTACGTCAAGAGCATTATTATATATTTATTCATCACAGGTTTCGGTGTACCAAATCTTAATTGATTTTTATAGTTTTATGTTTTAGAATATTTGTATATTTTACTTGAATAAGAAATTAATAATGTTGCCAACTGATTCTAGAGTACCAACCTTTCTTTTCGACACTATTGTTACTCGCTTGGAGCTTACCAAGGATAAGGTAGATGATCCGCAAGGATTTACTGTTAATTTGAAGTTTAATAATATTCCGATTGTCATTACGCCGAGCCGCATAAACGTCAACGAATTTCAAGATGGAAGACAGAAAGAAATAACTACTGATGCCGAAAGGCTTAGCCAAGTTATCGAGTCTCAGGGATTGTCCATCACTGTGCGATACTATGGAAACACTTTGGGATCTGCTGTATTGACCTTCCCTCAGACTTTCATCGATGCCATTCAGCCGGACATGGATCAGATACTTCATCAGGACAAATGTATACTTATTCGTCGTGGAATGGATATTGGAACTGTGGAGCTGCTTTGCAGTCTATACAGAAAGTGTGAGAACCAAACTGAACCAATTGAGTAAGTCACCCATATCATATCTAAAGAATAGTACTGACATTTTATTGATTGATTCAGGCCCAGCAATAAGAGCATTGCTACCATAGGGAAGACTATAAATCAAACTGACGTTATGTTTGTATTTGGCCATCCAGACACTTGTCCTGAGGTGTGTGAGCCGTGTGCGGATAAGATAGAGCCAGTCGAAGGTGATGAACGGCTCCTATTGGATCTAAAGCGCTATAGTGGCGGCATTCAGCGTGTAACTGATCCGCCTGTGGAGAAACGTAGCACTAATGCGTGCGACCAGTTAAAGAATATAACAGAGCAATTCGAAGAAATTATTGACTCAGTTGTTCAGAAGGTAAATGAATTAAAGAATGACGATCTTGTGTTAACGGACTGGAGCGGAAAGAAGAAGTACATTCAAAATTATGTCGATCGCACGATAAATGTACCGTTCGAAGATCCAGAAAAAATGGGCATAAAGCCCATTCGGTACTGTCCCGTTTGCCTCAATCCAATGTCGTGCTTTCCCAAATATTCTCCCTGTCCCAAGTGCTGTACAAAGGCAATACCTCAATTTGACGCTGTACCTACTGAATCTCTTACTGTAGACGAAATAATAGATGAGTGTCTTAAAGTACCAAAGAGACTAGCCGAAGACTTTTGCGTAGATCCCTGTGCTGAGTCAACACAGGACGGAGCAACACACTGTACCTGCAAGGGTCTCAAATTTTGTGCTCATTGTCGCATTCGCAAAATGTGTGCAAAAATGTTTAACGCAGAAACTAGTTTCTCTAAGCCATGCCCAAAAGTGGAGCCCACAGAAAATGACGATTTTTGCATTATAGTCGAGTCCGATGAGTCATCCCCTTTCTCGTGCAGTCCTTACTTAGAACGCGTATTAGGACAGCTTCGAGATATCTATAAAGAACGGGACGACCAAAAAACTGCTCTATTAAATGAGCAGAGTTTATTACGAATCAAAGAAATCTCGAAAAACTCACTTATGAACCAGAATTCAACATTTATGAATCGCATGCCGCAAGGCCCAAAAATTGGACATAAGACTTGTCTTAAGCAAGACCCCAATGTGTCCCGACGCCACGGCTGGGCGTGGATGTCGACCAAGAAAGCACGCAAACACGGATGGCGTCCGGGGGCCATTTGCCGCTATGCTGGGGCCATAATGAGATTCTTTCTGCAATACTCAGCAGAAAAGAATGCATTCAACACCTGCCGACTAGCGGAAGAAGCTGAGGCCAGTATACAGCCCGCGATTCTCAATTTGCGCAAGAAAAATGGCGCAATTTACATTACACTAAATGCGGTGAATAGCCCCTATGTGGAAATGAAACCCATTGTGTTCAAGATAGTTAAAAGCGATCTAGCTGTGGCACTCAGGGCGATCAAAAATAAGCTGAAGAATAAAGGCTTTCCCAAATGCGTCTGTCACAAGTCCGTTATGATGTGCGTCTGCCGTAAGGCTGTGGATAAAAAGCATCTCGTAAACGCACTGCAGAAGGAGTGCAAGCGACGAAGAATGGAAAGTTGCGAGGACCATTTGATTCTTACAGACACCAGTGAGAGTGAGATGGAATTTAATTTAGATGTGACACCCGTAAAGCCTGGGGGTAAGCCCCAACTAACTATTAAGCCACGTACCGCTAACTTGAGCACGCAGACAGCCACAAATGATCAACAAGCTCAGCCAATGTATCCAACCGAACTCAGTCCCTATTGGCGTGTCTACGACTGTGCTGCGGGCGACCGGTACACTGGAACAGCATTTGGTATACCCGGTGAAGCTGTATTTGAGGATGGAGTTTTCGGACTTGGTGGCGGTGGACCGCACGGTCCTTCAGCTACTCACGGCGGAAGAATTAAGGAGAAAGGAATGAGGAGTGGCGGTGGTAAAGGGGGAAAAGGCATTCCTGGCGGTAAGAAGAAATCTAGTGGTCCTAGCCCAGCCATCCCAGTGCGAATGCCTAAACGATATACTGAAGCTAATAAAGCTCGAGCTCAAGCAGAAAAAGATGCAATTAAAAATGAGATTGCAAAAAAGAAGCAAGGTATTGACCTGATGCAGTATTTAATGAAAGCCGGCACAGTTCCGAAGCCTTGGAATCCTAATGAGCCCAAGCCTGAAGTCAAGTCCAAAGTCAGGACGGGCCCGGTCGTGGGGGTAGATGGACTGACTGATGCACAGCGCAAACGGAAAGCTCTCAACCAGGTTGACGTTCCACCATTTGAAAGGTTGGCTCGGCTTGGTAAGGGTATCGATCCGTGCGCTAATCAGTGCTACTCTCCGTACGCTAATCCGTGCACACAATATAAGCCGTGTTCCTACTATTGCTAAGTTACAACAAATTAAAGCCGCCAATTATAAATTAAATTCGCGCTGGCCGTAAAATCAGTACATTTTATATTTTTATCTGAAACCTAAAATATTCTCAGTTGTATTCTGCTTAGGAAATAAACGAAAACGCCACGCTCATATAATTATCATTATTATTAATGCTTATCTTAGTATTATTTGAAATAACACTTCTGGATCTTGAGAAATCAGACTATCAAAGCCTTTTAAGTAAGCTATAGCATAGTCTATCAGGCTTACATTGAAACATTTTAATTACATATTAAAATGACCTGTTAAACATCTGTCAAGCCCCGTCAAAATTTTAAGTCTTTAAAATTATTTTATCAATTGAAACTGAAATATCTTTTGAAAATATAAGAAATCAAACCGAACGACAACATGATACCCATTCACTTTGTATTCGACATTATCGTTACCTTACTGGAATGTCATGAAATCGAAAATTGGCATGCCGTGAAAGTTGTCGCCAAGTTTGGTAACAAACAAATTCCTATAACAAGCAGCCGCATAAATGTCAGCGAGCTTAAAACTGGATTTGGAACAGATATGATAATAGGACCAACAAGACTTCGCAAGAGTCTAGAGGACTTTGGCCTGACGATGACGGTCTCATATAAAAATAAGGTCATCGGCTCCTGTAAAATGATTTTACCTCAACAGACGATAGATCTGATAGGAATTGGAATGAGAGATATAGTATATTCGGACACTTGCCGTTTTGGCAAAGCTGGCGAAGATGTTGGAAAGCTTGGCGTGCTCTTTCGTCTTATTATTAAATGCGAAGAACTGGAAAAGTAAGTAAAGCTCTGTGTAAACTATCTTCTAATAGTTCATATATGCGTCATATATTTTACAGTCTTGTGGAGAGTCCATGTGTACGAAATGTGGATACGCTGATTAATGAACAGGACATTATGTTCGTTATGAGTGATGTCCATCGATGTCCAAGCTTTTGCGAACCTTGTCATGATGCTTTCACCGATGACGATGAGGCCGATAGAAAACTGCGTTTGGATTTGCAACGCTATCGCAGCTCAGTTGGTAAAAGCCAGAGAGCAACAGATATTCCCACACATAACGTGTTCGGTGAGCTTAAGGTGAGTGTAGGAGGAAATGCTGTGTCTCGTTGGTGAGTTTTTCCTCAGCGTGTCTGAAATTGAATTTATTTGCAGAAATTCAAAGAAGAATGTGAACAGATTATTGATTCCATTACCACAAGACTTGCTCAGCACAAATCATCCTGCCGGACACTAGACAGAAGAGAACAGGGCGGTACTTGCTGTGCACCAAATCGACATTTTCTTAATAATTCCCATGGTACGTGTTTTTCGTTTATACCAGCACGTCAAGGGGATAGTCCGGACTTCTGCGATCCGTCGATGATACCAGTGCCCATTAGTGACTTAAATAAGCCAGATATAAACCCACCACGCTTTTGTCCCGTCTGTCTGGCCAACATGTCGTGGGTGCCCAAACTGGCTTGCTGTCCCAGGTGCGGTGCCAAGGCTATGCCGGTCATTGAGGAACGCCACAAGGAGAAACAACTGACCTCAGAACAAATAATAACAGAGTTTTTGGGCAACCCCTTGGATCAAAAGGATGATTTCTGCGAAGATCCTTGTGAAAAAGCGCAACGAGAGAAGGAAAAGGATAAAGGCTGTCGGTGCACGTGCAAGAGGGGAATAATATGTGCCCACTGCCGCATACAGACAATTTGTGCAGACATTTTTGAAGTTAATAAAGTTGTATGCCATAAGATCACACCTAAATCGTCCGAGGACTTTTTTGTGAGGCAAAGTGGCTCTAAACATTGCATCACAGATCTGGCGCGTGTGCTCTCCGAGCTGAAGAACTTATACATGATTAAAGACGCGCTGCGAAAAGACAATTGTGGACAAGGCAGCCCTAAAAAACAGAAGGTGTCCAGAAAAAAACATGAACCTGTAAAACTTGTCAAATCTAATCTGGCCGTTAAGTGAAAGATAGATAATTCAAAAAACGCTTCTGTTCCCAACTACTCTTCCTGTCCTAAATACTGAACTAAGTCAATGCCCCAATTCGACATTGTAATTAATGAATCTCTTAAAGAATACTTTTGCATAGATCCCTGTGCTGAGCCAACACAGGAGAGGACTACACAATGTACCGAAAGCTAAAGAAGAAAGGCATTGATTTGATTAAGTATTTAATGAAATCGGAAGAATTTTTACAAGTAAATAAGCTCAACACTTCAGTTAAGACTACGAGTCAAGGCGGCTAAGGACTTGGGGCCAAACGGAATGACCGATACACAGCGCAAAACTATATTTTATTTTATGTCTCTATAGCTAAAAAACAAATAGCTAAGGATAGGGATGACTGAAAAATAATATAAAAATGATAAAAAAATAAGAAATATAAGAGGAATAAGTAATTGGTTTATGTTGTCTGTCTATTTTTACCTGATTTTATCTTATTTTTATCAAATGTCATCAAATTGGGTATTTGAATCAAAAAACGATCTAAGTCCTATGCATGCACATCTATGTTCATCATAGTAGCATTTGACTTCAAGTAGGTAACTTTTGGAGCTTCAGAAATCAGACTTTTATGATTTGTTAAGGAGTGCAATAGTATTGTATGTAGAAATTAATTTATGGAAAACTATAAAATTTGTAAAATTCTCTGTTGTTAAATACGTTTGAAGACAAATGCCATCAAAATTTTCAGTCTTTATTTAAGAGTGTCAGAAACAGATACCTAATTATCCTTACCAAATACAAGAAAACAAACTACAAAATGGAAAACAATAGCTTTGTTCTCGACATTGTCGTTACGCATTTGGAAAGTCCCGAAATCACAGATATGAAAACGGTTCAAGTCCAAGCGAGTTTTGGCAAAACAAAAGTGATTATATCACCAAGCCGCATAAATGTGAGCGAGTTCAAACCCGGTGCTGGAATAGATATCATAGAAACACCAAAAAAATTACGCAAGTCTCTTGAGGAATGTGGCCTTGCTTTAACGGTCTCATATAAAAATAAGGTCATCGGCGCCGGTCAACTGTCTTTGCCCCAAAAGAATATAGATTCGATAGAAAAAGGAATGCGAGACTTAATTTATATGGACTCCTGCAGTTTTGAAAGGGAAGGCCAAACTATTGGCAAAATTGACGTGCTCTTTCGCTTTATCAGTAAATGCGATGAATTGACTAAGTAAGCAAAGCTATGCCTAAAAAATTTTCGAAACTCTAATATGCGTAATATGTTTTACAGTGCAGTGGAGGGTGCATGTGTACGTAATGTGGATAAGTCCATAAATAAACAGGATATCATGTTCGTTTTGAGTGATGTCCAGCGATGTCCAAGTTTTTGCGATCCTTGTCAGGATGCTTTGGAGGCAGATGAGGGTGATGGAATACTGGATTTGGATTTACAACGCTATCGTCACTCAGCCGGCAGTAACCAAAGAGCAACGGAAACTTTCACACATAACTCAACAGGAAATAACGCCTGTAGTCAGCTTAAGGTGAGTGTAGGGGGAAATGCTGTGTCTCGATGATGAGTTCTTCTGAAATTCAATTTATTTGTAGATAATGGCAAAAGAATGTGAACAGATTGTCGATTCTATTACTTCACGCATGGGTCAACCCCAGGGCGTAAGGTCCCCTTGCCGGGCTCCAGACGAAACAGAGCAGGACGGCACTTGCCGTGTTCCAAATATAAATTTTCAGAATAATACATTTGGTACGTGCTTCTCGTTTATACCAGCACGTCAAGGGGATAGTCCGGACTTCTGCGATCCGTCGATGATACCAGCGCCTATTAGTGACTTAAATAAGCCAGATATAAACCCACCACGCTTTTGTCCCGTCTGTCTGGCCAACATGTCGTGGGTGCCCAAACTAGCTTGCTGTCCCAGGTGCGGTGCCAAGGCTATGCCGGTCATAGAGGAACGCCACAAGGAGAAGAAACTGAACCCAGATCAAATAATTATTGAGTTTTTGGGCAAGCCTTTGGGTTACAAGGATGATTATTGCGAAGATCCTTGTGAAAAGGCGCAAAGAGAGAAGGATTACGATGGAGGGTGCCGGTGCACGTGCAAGGGGGGAAAATTATGTGCCCACTGCCGAATACAGAAACTTTGTGCAGACATTTTCAAAGCTAGTAAAAATGAAATTGTATGCCCTAAGGTGACACCTAAGTCCTCCGAGGATTTTTGCGTATATAACTATGACACTAAAGATTGCAAGCCATATCTAGCGCGTGTGTTCTCCGAGCTGAAGGACTTATACGAGCTTAAAGACACTATTGGTACTGATAATTGTGAACAAAAAGGCGAGCCGAAGAGAAAGACAGTTCCAAAGAAATCATTAACCATACCGCAGGATAAAATGGTCAAACAAAAAATTAATACAATCGTACGCAAGAAACCAGTTGTGAGCGCCCTGCACAAGAATTGCGTGAAAACAGGAGGGGCAGTGGCACGTAATCGTGGTTGGGCTTGGGGCTTAAGGGAGGAAGCATGGAAATATGGGTGGCGTCCAGGATGTATTCGAAAACCAGTCAAGCGTCTGATGAACTTTTTTTTAAACAACTCTCGAAATAATGGTTTCAATATCTGCAAAAAGGCAGAAGAGGTCGACATGACTGAGCAACATCAGCCGACTCTACACGTATGCAAAAAAGATGGCGAGATAGTAGTTACACTGAAGCCTATCAGTACGGGAAATGTGCAGATGAAGCCGATTATATTCAGGGTAGTTAAGAGTGATCTAGCAGTCGCACTCAGGGCTATCAAGAAAAAGCTCAAAGAGAAGGGCTTCCGCAAATGTACGTGTCACAATACGGTGATGATGTGTGTCTGCCGAGATATCGTAGAAAAGAAGCATCTCGAACGCGCAGTAGAGAAAGAGAGCAAACGTCGTGGAATGGAAAGTTGTGTGAGTCAACTGGTGCTTACGGACACCAGTGAGAGTGACATGGAGTTCGATTTTAATGTGTCGCCGCCAGCGGCGTCAGCATCTCCATGTTTGAAGCATACTACTTTGAGCAATGGAACACAAACTGCCAAGAAAGATCTAATAGTACCCCCCAAGTATCCACCTAAGATAGGCACCTATTGGCGACCGTACGACTGTGCTGCGGGCGATCGCTACACCGGCACAGCGTTTGGTGCACCGGGTGAAATTGTATTTGAGGATGGATATTTCGGATATGGAGGCGGCGGTCCCCACGGTCCTTCTGCTTCTCCGGGTGGAAGAGCAAAAATTCAAGGCATATGGGGTGCCGGCCAAGGCGGGCCTATGTCTGGTGGTGGGCGCTCCGGGGGTGGCAGACGCGGGGGGCTAACAGGTACTCTTAACAACAAAGCGTTTCCTGGTTATAAAGATCAACGAACAGGTAAAAGCGGACCTATACCAGTGCGAATGCTAAAACGGTATTATGACAATCTTAAAAGTGCTGCTAAAGCTGAAAAAGACGCTATTAAGAATGCCGCTGAAAAGAGAAAAAAAGGCATTGACCTAATCAACTATTTAAGGAAGGACGGCGCTCTTCCCACACCCTGGGATCCGAATAACCCAAAGCCGAAGAAAACGCTTGAGGATAAATTAAGGGAGGAAGCAGAACACATTAAGCAAAAACAGGCAAAACGACGCCAACTTCTGCGCGAATGCATACCACCACTCGACACTATGCCGCGCTTGGGCAGGGGCTATGATCCCTGTCAATACTACAATTCATGTTGCAACCAGTGTTATAATCCAAGTTGCTACTGTACGTATTAACACTAATCACAATATATGTATTTGTTTTAAAATAAATTGTGTGCGGGAGGTTCTAAACTGTGTTAAGTGTGATTTTTTTTCCGATAGTAGATCAAATAATTTGATATAGGCCGTCAGGCAGAGAGAGAGACTAAAGTCAAGATACAATTCATTTTTTTTTAATTTTTAGCCAGTTGATTACCAAATGCTTTCTTTAAAAGAAGTAGAAGGAAGTTACGAAGCCTTGTGGAAACCAGTCGTAGTCTTTAAATTGCGCAGAAAAGCTCGCAAGATGGGATCGAGTACGTATTTTATGAAAATAACCGTTCTCCATGATTGGGTTTCAGGGAATGTGGGGAAAAATCATAATTTTTGTCACACGAACTATTCATTGTGTTTTACAAACAAAATTATTTTAAAAATTTACTTAATTTTTTAATATTTCCTGTTGTGGGACTTATTTGCGTCTTTTAAGAAATTAGCAAACCTTTATAGCATACAAGAGATAATGCCCTTGAGTAACTTTATCTTTGACATTGTTGTTTCAAAATTAGATGTGCCCAAGTTGGTTATTAATGATTGCAGTAAATTAAAAGTGCTGACTAAATTTTATAAGAAGGAAATATGCTTAACAAGTAGTCGCATCAATGTAAATCAGTTTAATGCCAGCTCAGGCACAGAATTCAGAGCGTTGCCAAGCCATTTAAGGGATGTCCTTAAGAATTGCGGAATGGCTATTTCCGTATACGTCAGGGATGCTCTTATAGGAAATGCTCAGATAAACTTTCCTAATGATTACACGAACAGAATTAAGGACGGTATGTCTGATCTCAACCACAAAGACACCGTGCACATTGTGAGAAAAAATCAGGTGGTGGGTTGTATAGAGATTATCTGCCGTCTTGTTATCAAATGCGATGATCACCTAGTGTAAGTGAATCTTTCGAGATTCAGGTCAAGTATTAATGATTAACATATCCTTAAAGGACGAAAGAAGGCATTAAAATGCAGGATATCATGTTTCTTGTCAGCAGCAGGCAGCACTGTCCCACTGACTGCGATCCTTGCCTGGATAAATTGGAATCAAATGAGCGCGATGAGTATCTGAATGTGGATTTACAACGCTATCAGAACATTAATACTACTGGACAAGAGCGCTCGAATGTTGCGATAAAACGTAATAATGTTGTTGACGCCTTCTTACCACTTAAGGTTCTAGCCTTTTACATTGGCTTTTGCAAAGGTCCTTAAGACATGTTTCTATTCACAGAAATTGGTAGACGACTACAAAAACATTATTAAGTCAATAAATCGAAGACGTCATTCGAGTGAGCCGTGCTCCACACAAGACTATTTACAAGAGCAATACTCACCCTCCTTGCCAGCAAAACGCTGTGCTTCAGACTTTGGCGCAGACAAACATGATGGTTTGCGTCATCCAAAGCCTTCAGCCATGATCGATTGTAATGAAAAATACCAACAGATAAAGCCCATACGTTTCTGTCCCATCTGTCTGAATAACATGTCATGGCTACCAAAATTCGCCTCATGTCCCAAGTGCGGAGTCACGCCCTTACCGGTAAAAGACGAGCCTCCCGACAAGAATCAACTGACTCCCGATCAAATATTGAATGATTACATGGGTAAGCCCTACGTAAACAACTTTGCTAAATCATTAGATCTCAGTGCAGTGGAAGGTGAAGAAAGCGCCAGTCAACTAAATCAATCCAGGTGTCGGTGCTCGTGGATGAATAAACTGTGTGCCCATTGTCGAATACGTAGGCAGTGCGAAGATATCTTCAAGCCCTCTGCAGTGCCCATTGTACAAACACAGTCTGATAGTCACATGAAATCTGAGGAGTCTCGCCCACATTTGACCAAAGTTTTTTCCGATCTACGCGATCTCTATAATGCAAGGCACGGCAAAGTTCGATTGATGCCCGATCATCAGTGCAAAGAAAAGAAACACAATATAAATTTCCATACACTACCTACTCAAGAAAAGCACCTGTCCGAGGGACATAACGAACGGAATAATCCAGACAATACTCCACAAGGCATTAATTCACAGTTCGCAAAAAATCAACGAAGGAGAACACACCAGTGCTGTGCGAATCTGCAACCGCTTGTGCCGCGTCATCATGGCTGGAATTGGACATGTACCCGAGAGGCTCGCAAATATGGTTGGAGACCAGGTGCAGTTCGCAAGCCCATAAAAAAGCTCATGAATTACTTTTTGTATCACCTGCCAAGTAAACATGCAGATCTTCTGCGCGAGCAGCAATCGAACGTCAAACGGGACGTGAAACTTCAGCCTCCTATTCTTCAGGTGTGTAGGAAAAGAGGCGAAACTTTCGTTACCCTGCGCGCAGTGAACAACAAAAGCCTAGAGCAGGGTTCTATTGTGTTTAAGATAGTTAAAAGCGATTTGGCTGTGTCGCTACACGACATCAAGAAGAAGCTTAAGGACGAAGGGTTTCGTAAGTGCACCTGCCACCAATCGTTGATGCTGTGCGTCTGTCGCAGCAACATGGAAAAAAGGGAACTTGAGGTCGCTCTACGAAAGGAGTGCAATCGTCGCGGCATGGAGAGTTGTGTGAACGATCTTGTGCTTACGGATACCAGTGACAGTGAAGATGAATTCAATATTAATGTATCGCCGCCGTCGAGCGTGCCACATCCTCCGGCCACGCTGAAACCACGGACCAGTGACCATGCAACCCAGCTGACTAAAATGAAAATAATTCCTCCTAGGCATCCAATCAAACAAAGTTTCTACTCTCGTGCTCAGGACTGTGCTACCGGTGGTCGATACACGGGCACAGTTTTCGGCAAGCCAGGAGAGACGGTGTTTGAGGACGGTTGCTTTGGATGCAGGGGTGGCGGTCCGCATGGTCCAGTGTGTAAGCGCAACGCTGGTGCGGCTTCTGGCATATACCAGAAACATATACCAATTCCCGCACCTGAAAGGCAACGTTATACCGCAGGAACTAGAGAATTGATTCCATTAAAATTAGCTAAGCGCTGTCAGAAAGTTACCGAATCAGCTGCAAAAGCAGCAACGAAACAGTTGGATATGCCGAGCTATTTGAAGAGTAACAAATTAGTTTCTAGAAAAAAAGCTATGTCAGGCCCTCAAGGGGCCGCTGCACAACGTAACCAATGCACTAAATTACGGATCCCCTTATTGCCTAACGAATATGCACCACGGCTAGGAAATCACTTTGAACCATACGCTACAAAATGCTATCAGCCATATGATTATCGAAACTGCAATCAATTCAACGAACAATACTGTTCCCCATGGGGTTATTATTTTTGCCAACCAATTAACTCTTGAGGAACATTATTTGTATAATGTAAAAATTTTTTTAAGAATATATGAAAATCGCAATGAAATATATCACAATTATTGTTTCCTCGGACGACTCTCCGTCCATCCGCCTGTCTCTCTGTCCGTATGAATGCAAATCATTTCGCTATTATTGAAGGTAGAGACTTGATAGTTTTAAAATTTAGACCTCATCTGATAAGGTGTTCCCGATTCGTTCCAAAGCTAACAGTTTTTATACCATGACTGAGTATTATGCACCCGACTCTTTCCTCTTTCCCCCTACTTTTCCGAGTCATAGTAGCTTTTGTACACAAAATATTAGTGTAGGAAATAAATGTTCAATTAAACTGCATACATTTACTTGATATTCACTTTTTAATACACATGTTAAATAAAGCAACATTTGATATTAAAATTGTTTATAAAACCACATAGCATTTCGACGAGTATCGACAAAATGAAAAAATTTACCTTTATACTTGATATTATTGTGACGCGGGTTGAGTCATTCAAAGTGAAAGATTTGAATTTGAAAAAATTGAAAGTACAGATAAGATTTAATGAGTTAAATTTAGTTGTTTCAAACAATTTTGAAGCACCCATTAGCATTGTGTTTCAGGCCAATGTCGATAAGCTTCGCCAAGCTTTGGTAGCTAACGGAATACCAATTGCAATTATTTACTGCGATCGCAGTCTTGGTAAATGTAAAATCACTTTACCCCCATCAGTGACTAATACAATAAAAGAACACATGGCTGATTTGAGCTTCTCGAGCTTGTGCGCGTTTAAAAAATATGGCCAGGAGGCAGGCACCATTGAGGTGCTCTGCCGTCTGCTACCGAAGTTTAGGAAGCCAAAGTAAGTAAATTAATGCCAGTATCTAGTTTTCGTCCAAAATAATCTATTCGCTCCTTTTAGGGAGGCTGAGCTGCAAATTATCATATCCCCTTTGAGCAAAGACTTGAAATGTTATGAACATTTTATCACTGATGTCTCCAATCCAAAGAAAAGTGATGTAGCTGAGCCATTCTCCAAGTTGAATGTAAGTCACAAGCTAAATTTCCTACCGCAGTTACTGATGCTTCTCTGAAATAGAAATTGATACGGGAGTATGAAAATCTTATGGACTCAAGTGTAAAAAAACCAGACCTGTTGAAGACACCCGGGTGCACAGATCACACGGATGACTGTGCGAATCCAACTCCTTTAGTATCTAATGATTTGAAACTGACACAGATCAATCCAAGACGTTGTTGTCCGATTTGCCTGAATAGCATGTCATTCCTGCCAACATTTGCTACATGTCCAAACTGTTTCATCAAATCCATGGCAATGAAGGGAAAACCTTGGTGAGCACCATGATGATCCCTTGTAATAAGGTGCCGGTGCACCTGACTCAAACAGAGTAAGACTTAATTCGCGGATATGTTCAGTGATATATCGCCTGTAGCTGACAATTTATAGTTGTTAGAGAAATCTAGTCCCTCTCCATCATGTTTTATCAGAACTATAATATGGAATCTGTATATAATGGGTATGAGTACAAAAAAGAAGACCCAACAAAAAATTAAAAAGCTTAGTGAAACCATAAGATACATCGCTTGCCAGCAGACTGACTGCAGAGCACAAGAATTCTTTTTATATGAAGCTTACAGAAAAGAAGAAAAAGAAAAGAATGTAAAGACGCAGGAACATTTTCCATGCTCAGCAACTACAAAAGGAATGGCAAAGCATAAATAGTTCTACGTGCGATAGACGACATTAAGAGTAAGACGAAGTCCATTGAGCTTAAAATTGTCAAAAGGGAGTGCACTAAAGCTCTATGAAAAAAAGAAAGAAAACCCTAAAGGAAAAAGATTTCGCAAGTGAAACTGCCTATGTATTGTAAGAGCTACATTGAGAAAGAGTAACTCAAAAACGCACTAAAAAAAGACTGCCGCAGCCGTGCCATATAAGCAAAGCAAGCTTGAGTGAAAGTTACTTGGCAACCTGGCACAGCCTCTCTTAGCAAACTCTAATGTTCACAGGTAACTGCGCAGCTAGCCCTGGGGAAAATATTTTTTACGATGGTGCTTTTAACACTAGAGGCAGTGGGTCACAAGGTGTGTTTACTTGCCCAGGTGGCAGTCGAAAACTAAGGTAGGATAGCTGAGGGTAAAAACAGCTGCAAATGATAATGAAACCTTTTAGGATAACGAAGGATGAAGTGTTTCTATAAAGCAGTAGAAGCTGCCCAAGGAAATGCAGCGGATGGAAATATATGATGCGTTATGCCTAAACCATGGAACCCAAATAATCCCGGCTAGGGAAATCGTCTACAGATAAGCCTGACCAATGTGCCCCACGTGATCCTTGAAACGCATACTTTCGGCACTATTTGCTTGGAGAATATTATGTTTTTAATTCAGAAGTTGCCATTCTCAAACTTAAAGACAAATGTAGAACGATTCTGTTAATACATTATATTTTACGATATTATAAAATATACGCTAAAAATGTGGCGAATCTTCCATCGAACTTTCAATGTTTTTTAGCTTAGCATTGGCTCTGATAGACGGGGGATTCTGTCATTACAAGTACTTTGTTGCCATAGAATTGTTGTGGAAGATTCAGTATAGAACTTAAGTAGCTCTCCTAGCTGGCGACTAAGCGCAGAGTGTGCAGATACTGGAGTATATGATGCGCGTTCAAAACATATTAGGCTGCAGAATATGTACTTTCTAAAAACTTTTAGACTACCATAAAAGATCAAGTAAAATAGTTATAGAAATGAAAGGGCAAGGCAAGGTTCAATTTTTCTTACTATCGGTGCAAGCACCGAATAAAATTATTTCAAATGCTGTTAAATTAGTTGTAGGACAATTTTTGTTCATCCAGGTGGCTTTTTTTATATACTACAGGAATTTTAATATCTTCTATTGCTTCAAATGTCATATGAAAACGTGCATGCAGGTCGAAATTTAGATATTAAAAATTTAAGATTAATTTGAAATTTTCGTTGGTATAATTTTTACTATAAAGTATACAAATATTAAGCTTAAGTATAATGGCGTGTCTTTTTGTATTCGATATTATAATAACTCAATTTGAGTCGCCATATGTACTAAGCGAGGAACTGGATAAAGTAATCGTAGAGGTCACTTTGGACAATAAAGTAATCAACATAACTTCGAGTCAGATTAATGTAAACGAATTCCAGCAAGGTTCAAGTACGGAGTTCATTCAAACCCCAGAGAAGCTGCAAGAGAGCCTGGAAAAATGTGGAATGGATGTTATTGTGAAACTTTCCAATAGCATTATTGGCATGGGCCACATGAGTTTTCCCAAACCTATTGTTGAGAACATAACCGGGGACATGACTGAACTTCTACATTTGGATTCCTGCCTCTTAGGGCGGCAAACACTAGTTGTTGGCAAAGTTGAGTTTCTTTGCCGGCTTGTATTAAAGAGCATTCAACAAATGTAAGTGAAGAGTAATCCCCATTCTGCTAAACCTAAAGGAAGTATTTTTTTGCAGACCGGAGCCAAGCATTTGCCAACTTCTTGTGGACACAAGTATAGACCCAAACGATATTTTGTTAGTTATCGGCGATTACCAGCGCAACCCCGACCCCGTTAAGCCTTGCATAGATAAATGGCAAGTAGACGTAGAGGATGAGTATCTAAAATTGGGCCTCGAACGCTATCGCACCGTTGAACCTAGTGCATTTAAGCATGATGAAATTTTTAAATATGATCCATTGGGCGACTCAATACGTAAGAATATAAACGTAAGTTCAGCAAGTCTTAAGTATTGTTGATTATTGACATGTTTCTATTTAATAGATAATGACACAACAGTATAGTGAAATTATTGATAGAATTTCTGGTGTTAAGAAACTACCCTGCCGCACGGCGGAGGCATTAAGAAGTCCTTGCGGCTCGCCGTGTATCAATCCTTTAGATGATGTAGCCTTAACAAACTCACCATCTAATCAGAATATGCAGTATGCTTTTAGCAGCAACAGATTTACGGGTGGAGGACTATTAACTCCCAACGACTCACAGATAAGTAAGGAAGTGCAGTTGTGTCCTGTCTGCCTCCATAATATGTCATGGCTACCGAAATATGCCAGTTGTCCCGGCTGCGGAATCAAGCAGATACCAATCGTTGAAGAGATTAAGCCAGAAAGAAAAATGACCGCGGATGAAATATTGAAAGAATATCTTGACGAGACCCCACCTGTCCTTGATGAGGCGCGTAAGCGGGTTCCCAATGAGAATCAATCTAAGTGCCGATGCACATGCAAATATGACAAACTCTGTGCCAACTGTCGATTGCGTAAACGATATCCGGACATTATGCCGCCGAAGTCAAAAGAGGTCGATGTCGCAATGGAAAGCGAAGAAGACGCTGATGAGGATCCCGAGATTTATTGCTTAACACAGACCAGACCTATGACTTTTCGCCCATTTCTATCACGCGTCTTATCTGAGCTGGTCCATCTATATGATATAGACTTAGGAAAGCAAAAATACCGACAAAATTGTGAGCCAACTGTGAAAGCAGCCGCGTCATTAGAGAACGACCAGACGAATGGAGCCAAGCCGGCTGCTTTAAAAAAAAAGCGCCCAAGCAAGGTCCTCATGAGCAGTCAAAAGCGAAGAAAGACCAAAAATCAAATACACAAATTTAGCGCGAAAACTAAAAGCCAAATACACAAATATTGCACCAAGATTAACAGACCAGTCGCACGCCATCATGGCTGGGCTTGGTCCTCTAGCAAAGAGGCACGCAAATACGGCTGGCGACCCGGCGCCATTCACAAGTCAATGAAGAAGGCGATGAATTTCTTTTTGAATGGCTCGCAAGGGCGCTCTAGCTATAAAACCTGCAATAGCCATGTGGAAGAGATATATGAGCCGCCCGTGCTAAACTTGGCCAAGAAGAATGGCGAAATCTTCATTACATTGCGGCCAATCAATAATATGAATGTACAAATGAACCCCATTATATTTAAGGTAGTTAAAAGCGAGCTTGCCGTCGCGCTCAGCGAGATCAAGAAGCAGCTCAAGGCTAAAGGCTTCTCCAAGTGCTGCTGTCACAAGACGGTGATGATGTGCGTCTGTCGCGATGCCGTGGAAAAGAAATATCTACAGAATGCAATAGAAGATGAATGCAGGCGGCGCAGTATGGAAAGTTGCGTTGATCATCTAGTGCTAACAGACAGCAGTGACAGCGAGTTCGAGTTCGATTTCGATGTGAATACGCCGGCGGGCATAGCTAAGCCTCCGACTTCACCTAAGCCCCTGACCGCCAATTTTAGTATGCAAACAGTCGTGGAACCTAAACCATACGAACCGCCTTTTCCGATCAAGTACTCCCCCTACATGCGCTTCTATAGCTGTGCTGCTGGGGATCGCTATACAAACACAGCGTTTGGTGACTTTAAAGAAATTGTGTTTGAGGACGGCGTCTTTGGATATAGGGGCGGTGGTCCGCATGGAGTGCATCCTGGTGTCTTGCCGAAAAACAAAGATATTTGGGGGCCAGCGCCTGGTGGACCAATGCGCGGTGGTGGGGGCATTCCAGGCGGAAAATCATTTCCTGGTCTTCAGAAAACACCAGTCAAAAGTGATCCAATTCCCGTCAGGATGACAAAGCGTTATATTCAAGCTCGCGAAAAACAAGCAGAATCCAAAAAGCTCGAGGTTAAGTTAATTCAAGGAAAGCCAGACATGATGCAACATATGATAAGTAAGGGTGCCATTCCTAAGCCTTGGAGACCCAGTGGAAAAGCGTAGTAGCTATGTAGATGTAGACAATTTATAATTTTTAATATTTATATTGGTAAACTTCTTTTTTTTTAATCAAGCCACCATTTGATTTACAAATTTTGACAATAAACTAATAAGAGACTAGTTTTATTGTTTCAATTGAGCGCACAGATCAGATTTAGCTGTTCGACGTTAAAATTATTTGTTTAAATAAATTTGGATGAGCAAATATAGAAGGAAAATCAGTCATGACCAATGCGACATGTACTTATTTGCTTGATGTCATTGTCACCCATTTAAAGACAACAACGATACACATTAAAAATCCCGAGAAGTTACGAGTGGATGTTCAGTTCAACAACCTGCCGCTGCAGATAACATCGAGTCGCATTAATGTGCATGACTTTAAGGGCGAATCAACGTTCGAGTTCCAGGGCAATGCTCAAGCTTTACAGGAAAATATAGAAACCAATGGAATGCCCGTGACAGTTAGGTACTATGGCAAAGTCATCGGTAAAGGTAATATCAAGTTTCCTTCAGTGTTTACTAGTCGCATAGACGAATACATGGATGATATCTTGTGTGAAAGTAGTTGCAACTTTGAGCTGCAAGGTACAGTCACCGGCGTGCTTGAGGTACTCTGTCGCCTATACTTAAAGTGTAATGAAATGTCAAGGTAAGTGTACCGATGACAGGCTCTTTAGTCAATGAATTTACTGAATCATATACAATTCCAGTCCGGAGAAGCTTGACTGTAACCAAAAAATGAAGCAAAGCATTCATCCGAGTGACATTATGTTTGTTTTGGGGGAAACTCAGCACTGTGCCACTTCCTGCGATTTTTGCCCAGACATACTGCAGCCAGATGACGACAATCTGCGTTCTGAATTAGATTCAACTCAGGTTCCCATACCCAATGCTGATCCCCTTCGACCGATGGAAACTCTTGCAGGGCGCCCAGTAGCCAGCGCCGCCACTTGTGGAATAAAGGTTACCTAGAATCTAACCCATTTTCGAAAGTCTGCATCTAAGGTTTCGCTTCTATTCATAGACTTTAGGAATGAGACCTGAGCGATTTGTTGAGTTAGTCGCAAGGGGCTCGGATCACAGTCACCCATTCAAATTATCTGCCCGCAAAACTAATGAAAGAATCAGCGATCAACTTAAGTTTCTGCCAAATAGTCGCAGTACGCCGAATATTATGTTCTCTTTTCTCGATCCAGCTAAACAGGTCATCAATGAGGACGTGTACGATCCACAGGTAATGCCAGGGCCAATCAGTGAGAAATATAATGCAGGTATAAAGGAAAAACGCTTCTGTCCTATCTGCCTAACCAATATGTCGTGGCTGCCCAAATTTGCCACCTGTGTCAACTGTGGTATTAAGCCAGTTATTGAGGAACAGCATAAGGAGAAGACACAAAATGCTGATGAAATTTTATATGATATTCTGGATAAGCCGGCAGAAAATATAGAAGAAGAAGTTGCCGTTGAGGGAAAAGATCAAAAACCTGGATGTCGTTGCACCTGCAGTAGCGGAAGAACCTGCGCCCACTGTCGAATACGTAAACTCTGCGCTGATATTTTTCATGATGATGAAGAGCCCAGTGCTATCCCCGACACAAAAACGAACACGATCGAGGACATTTGCATGGAAAATAAGAGCTCAGTGAAAAGCGGTGTACATCTTACGAAGGTATTCTCCGAGCTGCGCGATCTATACGACATCAATACAACTAAGTTGTCGGACAAGTTGAATGAGAAATGCGACTTGTTGGTAGCCAAACAAAAGGACAAAACCTCAGATCTGAAAGCCAAGCAAAAGTTAAAAAATAAGAGCGTGATCAAAGCTGAAAGAGCTATGTCTACAACTGCATTGCAAAAGCGATCGCTCTTCAAAGAAAGACACAAGCTCTGTGTTCAGCTGCCTAGCAACGTGCCGCCCAATCACGGATGGGCTTGGACCTCCAGCGATGAAACACGCAAGTACGGCTGGCAACCCGGCTTCGTTCGCAAGTCCATCAAAAAGATAATGAAGTTTTTCTTGCAATACCTACCCGAACGCAATGCCTTCAACAGGTGTATGAACGTGCCAAAGAAAGAAAATGAACAAACCACTCTGCACGTGAGCAAGAAGCGTGGCGAAATCTTCATCACACTGCGAGCTGCCAATAGCACGCAACCAGAGCTGAAACCGATTGTGTTTAAGATAGTCAAAAGTGATTTGGCCGCCGCTCTAAGCCCGATCAAGAAGAAGCTTAAGGCCAAAGGTTTTCCTAAGTGCACCTGCCACAAGCCGTTGATGATGTGCGTCTGTCGCAGCAATATAGAGAAAAGGGAACTTGAGGACGCTCTACGAAAGGAGTGCAAACGTCGCGGCATGGAGAGTTGTGTGAACGATCTGGTGCTGACAGACACCAGTGACAGCGAACTAGAGTTCGACATCAATGTGACAGCGCCGACGGGCGATGCGATACCGAAACCACAGACCGTTAATCAGGCAACCCAGCTTACCAAAGTTAATCTATGCATACCACCAAAATACCCCCTCAAGCAAAATCTCTTCCGGCGCGTCTATGACTGTGCTGCTAGTGGTCGATACACGGGCACAGCTTTCGGCGGACCAGCAGAGATAGTGCTTGAGGATGGTGTCTTTGGAAATATGAATGGCGGTCTGTATGCCGGCAATACTACGCCGTGGAGTACAAACAGTCACTCGGATATTTGTCGTGGCAACTCTAGAGTGCCTATGCGCAGTGGGCAACAGGCTGGAGGCAGATTTTTAAAAAGTATGTTTGCTCCCAACTTCAGAGGTCGCATTCTCGATGATGGACGTTTTATAGGCGAGAGAGGTGGGCAGATAACGCCTGATTCAAGGAAGAAAATGGATGACGCGAAAAGCGGCTCTAAATTAACTTCAGAGATGAAAGCCAAAAATGCGAATAAGGAAAATGAAAATGGGAAGAGAAAATTGAATTGGGACACGAGTCCTTTGAGGAAAAACGTAGCCTGTTCCAAGCGAAGAGCGCTGCTTTCCCAGGATAGAGGCGTGGACACACAGCAAAGACGATGCACTCTTAGGCAAGTTTGTGCGCCTTCCTACGAATTAGTAAACCGGAGAAACTACCTAATATACTAAGTGTCTAGGTGCCTATTTTAACAAAATCTAAACATAAATTATTAAACGAGTCAATGTAAAGTGAATGTAATAAAAACTCAAAATAAATCATTTTGAACTCATGTTTTACTTGGCAAAGAGATATCTCATCTATATTCACATTATAATAATATATTACATTTGTGTCAGCCATCAACATATCATTGGAAGCAACTCAGCTCAAATTCATAAATTCAGGTCAGTTTAACTCAAATCTTAGGATTGTTTAGGTACCACACTATTACACTGAAAATTAGCTGTGCATTCCAAATCAATATTTTTATTTAAATTGACTGTTAATACTTTTACCAGTTGAATGGTTTCGCACTCAGATACAAGAGAACGAAATAAAGAAGCGGCATTAAAATGTCTAACTGCACTTTTGTCTTTAACGTGATTGTGACTACCATTGAGATACATGAACCAGGAAGGTATGATCGCGATAAAATGAAAGTGGAGGTCAATTTTTGTAATACATTCATACCAATAAGTGGAAGTGGCATCTACGCTACCGAATTTATGCCTCAATTTGGCACTGAGATCAATATAGACCCAAATGCTCTACGGAAGACTCTCGAAGTATGCGGGCTCCCTATAACATTAACGTGTGACGGTGATATACTTGGCAGGGGATCTGTTCACTTTCAACGTGAAGAAATGGAGGCAATAAACAATGACATGCACGAGTTGGTCCTCACAGAGTTCTGTTCAGTTGAGCGCGACAGGGAAATTGTCGGCAGAGTGGAACTGCAGTGCCTTCTGCGACTGAAGTGTGTCGAAGCGAAAAAGTAAGTAAAGGAATTCGTTTAGAAATGATCAATCTCCATACATATTTTATCGTTTGTCACGCGATCCAGGGCGAAACCGTGTCAACTATTCAAGGACAAAGCTATCAAAGATGAGGATATCTTATTTATTATGAGCGAGGCCCAGACGTGCCGCGATCCTTGCAGCGCATTTGAGTTTGTGGAAGACTCGGAATATCTTCAATTTGGCACCCAACGTTTTGAAAATACTGAAAAACCTAAGGAAAGGCCCACATTTTTTCATGATCCAGTTGCCAATGCCATCAGTTATGAAGTGAAGGTAAATTCGAATTCATTGTGTCTTCGGCAGTTCGCTTTAAACAAAATATTCATGCATGCAGGCAATGGGTCAGGACTGTAACGATACTGTTGACGCAATTGTGGAATCCTTGGACCAGGACAAGGGGTCAAGGGCTCTCGAGGCAAGCAGAAATCGGGTTCCATATTTTACACGTATACCATCACTAGGGCCTGAAGATAACAATACGATACCATGCATTAAGAGGAAAAATGAGCATTTGATAGAAAAACGTTATTGTCCCATTTGCTTCACTAATATGACATGGCTTCCCATGTTGGCTGCCTGCACCACTTGCGGCTTAAAGCCAATGATACTACCTAAAAAACAATATAACCTACCATCCACACAGGCTATGTATCAAGTTAATCATCCAGTTCATAAGCCAGCTGAACAGAAGCAGGCGAAATGTAGGTGCACCTGCGCGGATGGACGAATCTGCCCCTTTTGCCGCGTGCGTAAAAAGTGCGCCAGCTTTTATAAAATTGAGAATCCGCCCAAAGAGTCTTCGGATGCCAAAGAGTCCGGGCAGTTTGATTGTGATCAACTGAAAACCGTAGATTCTCGCCCATTTCTGTCACGGGTATTCTCAGAGTTATGCGACTTATGTAATGTCCGAGACGTCATAAATTATCGCGAGTTCAAAAAGCAATGTCAAAAATCGGCTGGGAAACCGAATCAATTGAATGCTGGTGCTGATGCCAAGAAGGCCTCTGAAATAAAGGCGAAGAAACATGCAAACGTTCTCAACGAGCGTAAAAATTTGGGTTATCGAATAACTGACGCACCGAAGCGTAGAATACTTCCAGGACATAAGGAATGCTCAAAAAACTTGAGCTTTGTTCCGAAACATCACGGCTGGAATTGGAAAAACAGCGAGGAAGCACGCAAGTATGGCTGGCAGCCCGGACTCATTCGCAGGCCTATCAGAAAGCTTATGAAGTTCTTTTTACTCGGCTCACCAGAGCAAATAGCCGCCGATAAATTTAGGAAAGAAATGGAAATGGGAACGAAGGAGCATCCGCCTATTCTCAACTTGCGCAAGAAGAATGGCGAAATCTTCATCACATTGCAGGCTCTCAATAGCTCAACTATGGATATGAAGCCAATCATCTTCAAGCTGGTCAAAAGCGATCTTGGCGTAGCTCTTAGTCAGATCAAGAAAAAACTCAAGGAAAAGGGCTTCCGCAAATGCACGTGCCACAAGCCCATAATGTTGTGCGTCTGCCGGGATATCTTCGAGAAGAAGTGTCTCGAGGAAGTTCTGCAGAAGGAGTGCAGGCGTCGGCATATGGAAAATTGCGTCGATAAATTGGTGCTCTCCGACACCAGCGATAGTGAGATTGACTTCGATTTCGATGTGCCACCGCCAGCGGGCTCGGCGCAGGCATACGTGAAGCCCAAAACGCATACCCATGAAACACAGACTGCTAAAGCTGATAAAAAATTAGTACCAAAATATCCACTATTTAACGAGCCGTACTGGCGAGCCTATAACTGTGCCGCGGGCGATCGGTACACCGGCACCGCATTCGGCTTACCTGGTGAGAATATATTTGAGGATGGAGTTTTTGGACATGCTGGAGGTGGACCACATGGGCCGACAGCGTCTGCCGGAGGAAAACCGAAGTCAAAAGGCATATGGGGTTCCGCTCGAGGAGGGCCAATGCTTGGCGGTACTCGTTCTGGCGGTGCTCGTTCTGGCGGTGGGCGTATTGGTGCTGACGGAAAATTAGCTACCGACAATAAATCGAATCTAAAAGCCAAAGGCCCAAAAATCCCTGTTCACCAGCGTCAAAGATTCATTGATGATGCTAAAAAACGTAAGCAAGCTGAAAAAGCGGCAGCTCAAAAGGAGATTGCACGAAAGAAGAGAGGTGTCAATCTAATGGAGTATTTGATGCATGAAGGTATCATTGCCGAACCCTGGGACCCGAATCATCCCAACTCAAAGCACAAGAAACACGGCCCAGTCGTGGGACCTGATGGACTTACCAGTGCGCAACGCAGAAGAAAACTTTATGAGATGATGATCGTGCCGCCGCTCGACACTATGCCACGGTTGGGCAGAGCATATGATCCCTGTCAATGCAATAATTTCTGTTACAACCAATGCTGTAATCCATATTGCTACTGTTCTTATTAGGAGCAAACAGAAAAGGTAGCTATTGCCATCACCCACAAAATCCATTTGCAGCTTATTTGTATTAAGCGCCAATTTACCAAAGCAGTTTAAACCTCATTTGACGCAGCCGTAACTTTGCTGCATGGGGACGCCCCACAGGCACTGCATATGGTGCATCAGCTGAAAATGTATTTAAAGATGGGCAGAATTCACGGATCTTGAATATGTTGCAATTGTTGTCAAAAACGAAAATCAGCTCTAGGCAAATGCTGCAGAGACTATGGTATTCGGTAATTAGGGATCCAATGCCCAAGCCCGGAAATTTCAATTCGGAAAAAAAGATACACGATGTTTGGCAAATCGAAATTGTTACCAGTTTTTTTTATATACATATAACAGATCATACATTTTTATACATTTAATAATAATAAAAGTTCAAAGACTTCTTAATGCTTACAAATTGCAATTGTCTTCTGCATGAGTTATGCTGATTGGGTTTAGTTCTTGAAGGCTATTTCATATTAATTGAAAATATATATAAGGCTTCTATGATTGCTTATCGTATTAGTTGTGTGCATAGCAAATATTGAAAATGTAATGCAATATTCAATTTTGTTTAATTATGTTTTAGATCACGGACAAGCTAAATGCTCTTCAGCCCAGGAAACCAGACACATGTGCAGCTCAATTGAATTAGTTTAGCCTAAGCAGCTTAGGGTGCACTCTTGATTTGCATGCAGTCACTGAGTTTTGCTACTCATAATGAGTACACTGAAGCAAGAATCAATCAATTATAAGTAGCTACTTACTCTGTTTCTGTTACTAGCCATTCAATATGTGGCTCTCACAAGGTCTTCAATTTCAATGGGAAACTTGAATTGGCTTGGCTGAAGCGCTTTAAGGCAAACTTCAAGAATTTCATGGATGCATTGAAGCGGTGAGTCGAGTTGCGTAAATTGGACTTAGCAATCAAGCCCGCCTAATGACCCTCGACTTAATACAGAAAAAGGAAAAATGTTAACAACAAAACAGTTCTCTAATCGCAAGTATGCTAATGCGAGATACCCTTAATCACTTGTCTCGGCATTTTCAAGCCTTTTAGCTACCTTTCATAAAAGCATACACACGCATCTAACTTGCCGCAGGTGCTGTAATTTAGAATAAACTTTAGTTGCCTAGACTATGAAAAACCTTTCAAAAACATTAATTGATTAAGTTCATACTGATGGGAAAAGCAATTCATTATTTTAAATAAACTTTAAGCTCTGATATGCTCTGACTTTGTATTATATATATATCATTCCAGACGCATGAACTAACAGATGAAAGGCTAAGCAGACATTCCCTGAGACTAAAAAAAACACATAAAGTCCTATTCCTGATATACACTTGCACAACAACAATATACCCCTTTAGTCGTTTGCAATGCTTTTAGGGCATAGACAAGTGGGACCCAAAAAGGCATCAAATTTGTGCAAATACCAAATTTTAATTAAACACATTACGGCAATTAAGCAAAAATTCGCAACAAGACAAAGTGCATAAAAGCTGAAGCTTATATATACAGCAAACACCTGCTGGCAGAAATGTTCAACAAGCTGAATTATTCAAATGGCCAGCTTAGGGGTTCGCAAACCCACGCACACTATGTACCGCCTTTCCTTTGAGACATTTGTGTGCAGAAGATGTTTATAAATCATTTCGATAAGCAAACATGAGAGTGGCGATTAAAGCATTAATCACACTATTCTATGACAATATTATTTTTCCAATATGCGCGTCTTCTCTGCTTGGTTTCAAATGCAAATTGGCATAATGTTCGTATAAATGTTGAATATTTCATAGCAATCCTCGCACCTTGTGTTTTGTAAAATATTTATGCTTTGGGCATAATAAACATAAAATTTAAATATAAAATGATTTCACACACAATATCATTATGCAAACATGAATAAAGAGTTCTGGTCTGCTACTAGGCTTACTGGCTTAATGTTCCTCAACGGCAAATGTGTGACATTGTGAGTCGCGACCAACATAAAACAAAAGGTCAAAATTAAAGGGTCAGTATTTGGGCAAAGTTTATTAAACCTTCATGCAAAATACTTGTTCGTTTGTTCGCTACAACACAAGAGGGCAAAGGCGAACAGATTTCAATGCACAGACTAAATTCGAAATCACGAAATGCACATACTCTAAAAAAACCCCGAATTTGACGTTTGATAAGGAATCTGGAAATAAAAATATTTTAGTACTTACATTTACTTTTTTTAAATTTGTGAAACAAATTTATCCAGCTTCTACTGTCTTAATAACAAAAGCTTAATGCTAAAGATATATTGGAATTTAAAAGTCGATCCAAGGTCCAACACACACCAGTTGCTTCCATTCACACTATAGTGTAAATTCGCTCGTCATGCCACTCTCGACTCCATTTTATGCCAGTCATGCCAGTGTCCATTCGGTCTGGCAGTTAACATCCGTTTCCGTCGGCAGGCACAAAGCTTTTATCAGATTTTCATGTAAAATGCGGCAACGCGAACACCAAAAACGTGAAATACACTCGCGAGTGAAAATACCGTCCAACGTGGATATCGGCACGCCGAGGCGCGCTAAGAAGAAAAGAAAATGTTATAAAATGAAGTCAAGTCGTTTAGGCGCTGACCAAGACACTTTATCATCATTTGTCAATTAGTTGCGTGAGTGCCAAATACGGGCGAAGCGTGTGCAGTGTGTGGCCTGGGGCCAGATCCATTAGGCAGAGTTATTGTTTCATAATTCATTATAATTATGACAGTAGTTGTGTAAGTGCCCCAAGGCCCAGTCGTTGCCCCATCGTTTTGAAGTTCTGCCCTCCCAATTGCCTCACCTTAATCTGTCCAACTCATTTGCAAAAGTTTTCTTGCTCTTGCGCTGCTGGCACTTTTTGCAATTTGAAGACAGCTGTGCGTGTCGCCGTTACCATTTGCCAGCTGTCGGCTAGCCGGTTGCCATTTTGGCCAGTTGGCAGGACGCAGATTTCTGTCCCAGCTTTGTCAGCTCGCTGAACTAAATGCAATACGATACGAAATAGCTGCAACAGCGCAATGGGAAAGAACTCGTTGCTAGCTATGCGACACCTGCTGGGCCCACTGACAGCGCCCAGGCAGCACTGCATCAGTTTTCGATTTCTATTTTTTTATTTTTATTTTTTTTTGTCACAAGAGAAAGATTGGAAATGGCAAATGCTATTTGACCAAAAATTCGTACGTTTGCGGTTCCGAAAATTCCCAATTTTAATTGAAAATTCGATTGGCGCATTTTAATAGCCAAGGCAGGCAAGCGGCTAGGGGCATACGGCAACAGTCGCATGTTGGCATGCAACTCGAATGCAAACGTTGGACTAATTAATGCATAAATGCTCGAGGCGACGCTGTGCCACTCACCAACGTTGCGTATGAGCAACCAACAGAGTCAGCTATGATTACGCAGCGTAACCAGACCATTTCAGTATGTGAATGGTGACTCCGTGTGTGTGTATTTTGTAACAATTATGTCCAGCAAAAATACAAAACCCACATTTTGTATGATTTCGTTAAAAGCAAATTGCAAAACGAGAAAATAAAAGCATTTGCAAATAATTAAAGTTTACACTAAAGAGATCGATGTGGGGATACTCATTTTATTTTAAATTGAATAGAAGCAAAGAAGCCAATATAGCTTGCAAATATTCTAGAATATCATTTAGCTGATCATGTAAACAAAACGAATTACTTGAAGAATTTCAAAGCGAGGAATTTTATCATTTTTTCCGGGCATAATAGGAAACTTCTATAAGAGTGTAATGAAAAGACAACGAATGTTCGAACATGAAAAAAAATAATAATAAAAAACTTTCACTGAAAAGCCAAACTACCAAATTGCTTCGCCTTCAAAGCTATGGAACATATTTCTCATCCTTTGACTGACTTCGAGCTGCTCTTTTGAGCTACGTTGTCTTTAGGTTGACTTTTGTTTCTTATTAGATATTACACTTTAAATATTACTATTGTTTGTTGCATATCTTATGAACTAAGCTCTTGTTTTTAATATAATTCTGGAAACTTAATGTTAAAGTAGCTTAAAAATATATTATTAATCTGCAAAGCTCTTAATAATTCTCGGAGACTAATAGGCAAAAATATCTGTTCAGACGTGGGAACCGCTTCGCCTGCTTCAAATCTAGATTACGTAAATTATTTTCTGCATATTTTATGATATTTTTAGGATGTTTAATACTTCAGCACATTAAGCTGTTTCACATAGTCCGCATGGCCTTTTGTTCAGTTTGGCTATAGGGTATACAGCATGAGCGAAAAGTCGAAAGAAAAAAGTTCTAGACTAAAGCTTTAAAGTGGTTTGCTTTAGCAATTCGAGCGCTAAGTTTTTGCGTGACTTTGTTGGCGAAGCATTTTTTCTACTCGCTGGTAATTAAAAAAGGTAGTTAATAGCAGAAATATCGCGTTTATTTGCTCGCTTTATTTCTTAAACATTCACAACGCAAAACTTTAACATCTCATTTTGACCGCAAGGCAGTTGCAGTGAGTCCACATTTAATGAACAGAGCTGAAAGGTTACCCAGGAGCTGTCATATAGTGTCGCCAGTGTGTTTACGGGAAAAGGAGAAGGCCCTCGGCGCTACGCACTGGCGTAAAAAGTGCTCGAAATAAAACTTTTTAATTATGCGTTTTTGAATGCAAAGGCATTCCCACTGAGGCCGGTGGGCGTGCCCGGTAGCCATCCATACATACCGGCTGCAGGCGAGGTCGTTTGACACTGCTCTCCGCAAAGTATGCAATAAAATATGCATGCAAGCATACGCCCGAATCGCCAAACTGGAGCATGTTTATTATATTTGCATAAAATAGAATAAACCCGAAACACTTGAATTTCATTTTCACATTCTATAAAATCGTAACAGGAACAGCAGCAGCAATGCCATTTCGTCGGAATTATACAAAACAGTTCCATTTGCTGCCTGTATTTTCGGCTAGCAATATAAATATTTTTAGCAACATAAATGCAATGTCAAACAACAGAGAAAACGAGCTTAAATGGCCAAACAAAAAGCTCTTTGACCCAAAAACGGAATTTTAAAATATACATAACATATTTTCATATTTTTTTATAGTAAATTTTAGTCATTTGTGTTATTTTTGATTGTAGAATACCATTTGAATTGTATGCCATTGCTAAAATTCAAAGCCCGAAAACTGATACAAATATTTATTTATTTATTATTATCAAAAGTAAGAAATGGCTGGATAAATTCAATTAATTACGAATACACTTAGTTTCCAATTTGCCGGCTGGCTTCCAGCCGGGACCAACTCTTTTTGGCTTGCCACGAATGGGCAACAAAATAGTATCCACAGTGGTGCGCGCAACTGGTTCACACAAACACGCACACACACACACACATACGCACACACAGAGTCACTCAAAGAGCGAGAGATTTCTGCATGGCTGAACACCGCATGAAATTCAATTAAACAAATTTATTCACTGTATCTCGTACAATATTAACCACAGCATTCGCTATGCATAATGAAAGTGTCTTTCGGTCGGCAGGTTAAGTCTTTAATATGTAGACCATGGAAGCTAATAAATGCTTTTAAATCAGCATTTTCATTGCGTCTGGTCAGGGCTGAATCTACTACCAACAAACATGCCACACACTACGAGTCATTGACTGAATATGTTTGATGTCTCAGAACCTCCTGCCATTGCCTGTGGCCTGTCTGTCCGTCGATGTCTTGACAAATGTTTTCGCTTGCTTAAAAAAAATATTTACACAGCAGCAACAGCAGCCGCAACAGCAAAACTAACAGCAGCAACTGTCTAGCAATATATTTGCAATCTGACCATCATATCTGACCTCGTTGGCAAGTGCAACGCATTAAAAACAAACTGGGCATAAACGTTTGCATACACTTCGAGTCAATACACAGAGTTAACTTTCGAAATTTGCACACAAATTATTGCAGGCAAATGAAATGCAGTCACCAAAAGTTATTGGCAATACATGAATATTAAATGATTAATTAAGTTGATCAAAGAGTTAAATCGTTGCGAAAAAATATTGAGAATTATATACAAGGGAATACAATGAAATAAAATAGTATAAGAATAAGTAATTAAATCAAAAATTAGTTCGTAAATCTTTGAGCTTATTTAATGAGCAAAACTCTTTTATGTATACTAAGTCTCTATACTCGAAGGCGCGAGTTTATGTAGTTCACTTAGACATAATTCCTCTCCTTCCCGATTAACGTAAGTCAAGGAGATAACAGGTAATGAGTTCTCAAAACAACTATTGTTGCATTTAGACATATAGAAGGCAACTTAAGTTGATGTCAATATTGAATTTGAATTTAAATTACTTCGTCTTTGGCTGCACCATTCGAACTAAAGCAAACAAACAAATAAAATTAGCAAACAGAATTATGAACTTTAGTAAAATGAGACTAAAACTTTAGAAATAATATTTTGAAGTGCAAAAATATTAATTACCATCTTGAAGTCTTTGTTTTTGGCAAACAAAAGTTAAATTTAATTATTAGGTATACTTGAGTACTTCAAGCAAAAACTTATTAAGAATATTAGTTATACCCCTTTAAAATGTTTAAAAGGGTATTATGATCTCCGACCAAAAGCTCTGGCCGTCTGTCTCCATCAATGGGTCTATCTCTATGGAAACTAAATGATATATCCTTGCCATATGCCGCACGGTGATGAAGTATGCATTAAGTATTCGATAGCTCAAATCGATTATAATTTGTCACAAAATTTGGGACATCTGCTATTTGCATATTTTCCCTTATTATGTGTAATTGAACAGCATGACGTTAAGGGTATCTCGGAGTTGATCATTCCCGACTTTATCACGCTCACTTGATTTATTTGAACTTTGCTCCTTACTTGGTCAAAGCTAAGATTACAGTACAAAGGCCGCTGAAATAGCCAAAGGGCTATTCATTTCATGCCTCATTGAAACGCCTACGAAATCAACTTAATGAATTTATCATAAATGTTAATTAAACTAAAATTAAATGAAGTGTAAGCATGCAAAAATGTTTTTTTTTTTGTTTTTAAATTTATTACATAAGATATTCTTCAAATTTGAATTTATCGAATGGAATGCAGCGATAGCCAAAAATAATTCGTACGCCAAAAATCGCGTCCTCTTGCCAACAATACACAGACTACTGCAAAATTGGCGTAAACTCAGGACTCTTTGTTTGCATTTGCGGTTGTCATCGCCGCCGTCGTCGTTGTTGAAAAGGCTTCAGCAGAGTTTTATGAAGTTGAAAGCCACAAAATGAGTTTTTCTTTTGGATTTGCATAGATTAAACTGCAATGGAGTTCGCGTTTTTGGTTAAAAAGAAAGTATGTCATAATGATGTGGTCATTGTTGTTTGTGCTTTTCCTTGTTGTTACTTTTTGCTTGGGTCGCGCAAGTTTTTAATGCTTGTTAAGCTGTGTGGCTTGTATTCTATTTTTACCAAATCTGTTGAAGATATATATATATATATATATATATATATATATATATATATATATATATATATATACTATTTTTAAGTACTGTGTACTTTGAATTTGTATTTGTCTTGGCTCTGGTCAAGACTTGACACAACTTTGGCTAAGACCATTTTCAATTTTTGGCCAGACTGTCAACGCCTGCGATTTGGTCGATAAATTGTTAGCGATTTGCTGTGGCTGCCTTACTTTTCTACTCTCTACAGCTCAACGCAGCTTCCCGCGCTGTGATTTCTCGTGATTTTTTGGCACAAACTTTGCGCCGCACAAAAACTCATTTAAAGTTTTAAAGTGTTGTTTTTTTTTTCGTGTTGTTGTTGGTTGATAGATGCCTAACTGACTGGCAGCTACACCCTTGCGACCACACTTAGCTCTAGAACTTTTGTTGCAGCGAGTTTGCACTGTGTGGATGTGTCAGCCATGGGGATTAGGGCAACACGTGACTGACTTCACTTCTTTTATTTTGCATTACCCTATAGCTAAGGTTCACATACAGCGCTCATAGGGAACGTGAAGTCTAGTAAAGTCTATACAGCTAAATTTCTGTTTATTCTTATTATAGTAATAAGAAAAGTGACTCAAAAATGAGAGCATTTTTATAGATGTTATAAAAAATATTACTAATAAGTAAAGTCTATATAGCTACATTGCTCTTTTTCTAAATATGCCAAAAAAGCTACTCACAACTTGGTTCCTTGCCCACAAAACATTTACTCGCCTAATCTGCTTTTTAGCATTACTTTTGGCGACCTTCTTATTGCCAGGCCCTAAAAAAAGGGAGCAGCACCGCAAATAAAACTTGTTGATAGTTTGCAGACAGTGGCTGAGAGCCTTTGCGGGCTTTAAGCCAACTTTAAAAAGGTGCACGTGCCGTGCCGCGCCAGCACAGGCAGTTTGGGCTCGTTCGGACAAAATAGAAAAAGAAATAAGGCTTCGGAAGTTGGGTCGCATCGCATGCCTGCCCAAATGGCATTTTGATTGATGTGTGCACAAAACAAAAGGCTGGCAATTGACAGACGGCATGTGAAAATTCATTCGCCTATCACAATATTTTTAATACCCTGTAACCAAACAACAGGACAACAGTGTATTAAAAACAAGCCAGACAAATATTAAAAACAAGCCAGACAAACAAGCCAAAACAAATGGCTAAGATTAGGTTCGTGAAACTGATTTTAGCAGCAATAAATTGTCTCCAAAATTTAACAATCATATATAACAAAAATACAATATTTATCAATACTAAATTGTATTTTAAATCGACTACAGTTTACTTAAGTTAAATTTGCTTATTATTTTGTAAAATAACTAAAAAATAAAGCCCTGTTTCTATTTCAAGTTCGTTTAATTGTGTAGCAGTTAAATTGAAGTTCCGACTTTGAAATTCAGTCAGCAATATAAATTCTTTGTAAGCAACTCAGTTTTAGACAGAATTCAATAGTTGTTGCATAGTTTTTCAACTACCGGAAAATTCAATTTTCAATAAAAACAAGCTAGGTACAGGGTACGTTGAGCATTTCGTCCACATAAATTTATGAATTTTATGCCATTGGAACTAGGCTATGTCCGTTACTAACTGTTCATAAAACGAGCTGTCAATTTGTTCCCTTTATTTTTTTGTTGACTTCTATTCATTAGGCATGCAAAATCTGGCAGAAAAAAAATAGGTTGACAGAAATATTTTCTATAAAATGAAAATTGGTAAATTATAGGTCGTCGCATATGCGCAAGCAAAATGAAATAAAATACGCCAATTTTTTTGACCGGGCAATCAGAAGATGACAAACTCAGTTCCTGCCTTGACCAATTTTCAATTCCTTCGGCCACTTAAAGCGACAAAGGCGCTGAAAATACTGAAAATCAGTTTGCAAAACCAACAAAAAAAAGCTTTGAGTTGACAAAAAGAAATTTTTGCTGAATAAACGCAGCGCGCAAACGCGAAATATGAGCGAGAGCCAGACCGAACAGTTAGACAGAGAGGGAGAGACACCGAGAGAGTGAGAGAGAGAGATTTATATTCGAAGCAGAGAAAAGCATATGCAAATCACTTAAATGGGGAAAAGGCACACCTGTTGTTGTTTTCCAGCGAGTTATCAGTTGTCAAGTCTGATATGTATAAACCGAATTGACAAAGCATTGAGAACATTGTTAATTCATGTGAGCATTGAAAAGCACGTTAGATAGTAAACAATTATCTGATTAAATTATCAATTTAGCTGCAGATATGTTATGTTCGAATAAAGCTGGTAATAGCTCTAGTGGGACCATAGTCTAAGTTTCTGAAACGAATTCCCCATGGGCAGATTAGAAAGGTTAAGCAATGATATCATTTCTGTAAGCACAGCTTGAATCTATCCTTGTCCTTTAATGTAGTCAAAGAACTGATATATATCTGTTGAGACCCTAAATGCTAATGTATTTTAGTAATATTTAAAGCTACATATTCAAGCATGTTAGATACTTCAATCAACTGCTCAAAGGTTTTATAAATATTACAAATTTCTTGAAACAATTCATTAACAAGTAGTCGTCGATCAAGTTATAAAACAACTCAATTGTTCTGCATAATTTTTCATTTGCAGATTGCGCTCAAGATATTTGGCAATTGAGGAAATGGAGCCGAAAGAATGCGGTCAGCAGTATCAATACGCGGTCTATCACGATAGACCGGATGTAAATGTCGCTATTGGCTATGGGGCTTATGGCTCCACCGCCTCCGGCACCGCCGGCGATGCTGACGCTGACGCCGAGGGGCAGGCGAAAGGCTTGTCCTTTGACAATAAGACCATACGACGTGGATTCATACGCAAGGTATACATGATACTAATGGGACAGCTGGTGATCACATTTGGAGCCGTGGCTTTGTTTGTGTTCAGCAAAGACGCCAAGCAATTTGCGGTCCTCAATCAATGGCTCTTCTGGGTGGCTATTGGGGTCTTGCTGATAACTATGTTGTCCATGGTCTGCTGCGAGAAGGTGCGCCGCGAAACGCCGACCAATTTCATATTTCTAGGCATGTTCACAATAGCCGAATCATTCCTGCTTGGAGTCTCGGCCATTCGCTTCGCACCCAATGAGGTGCTACTGGCAATTGGCATAACAGCAGCCATTTGCTTGGCCCTGACGGTGTTCGCCCTGCAGACCAAATATGACTTTACATTGATGGGCGGCATTCTAGTAGCGTGTCTGGTGGCCCTGTTGATTTTCGGCTTCATGGCCCTCTTTATGCACGGCAAAATTATATCGCTGATCTATTCGTCGCTTAGCGCTGTGCTTTTCTCAATCTACCTGGTCTACGATACGCAGATAATGATGGGCGGCGGTCACAAATATTCAATTAGCCCCGAAGAATATATTTTCGCTACGCTCAATCTCTACTTGGATATCATTAACATATTTATTGATGTACTCAACATTCTGGGCATAACGCAAGATTAAATTCAAACTAAAAGTAGACCAATGGACAGACAGAGAGAGCGCGCCATAGAGAGATGCATTGAAAGAGAAATTATGCAAATGTTTTATGTGTTTACACACAGGCATTTAATTGTAGCATTTAAATGAGCAATTGAGCAAATTATACCACACACAGACAACCACACATAAATCCCACACACACATACACACACACACTTGCAATCAAATATGTCAATTAAGTTATTAGTAACGAGCAATAAAAATGTCAAGGCAATTACAATATTAACATAGGGCAGCCACACAGCGAACTTCTGCGTACTATTCTTATAATACCCTATACCCTTATAATACTGCATAAATGGGTATTCCAAATAGCAGTTAGAGGAGATGTAAAGATGTGTAGAGAAGTCTCTTCTAGTCTGGCACTGCCGGCTAAAGCTGTACTGCCTGGAATACTATGTGTGACATCCAGCGCGATATCCAGCTGACTGGCTCATATAAATCAAGTGTGCTTAGGCACAGCTGCTGGTCACCTAGTTGTCAGCATACATTTAATTAAGGATTGGCAGCTGTTGACAGTTGACATATCACTGGATAAGGCTGTAAATATATTTGCCTCGTTTTGCAGCAGCTAACGTTTTGGCTGCCCATCAATAAAACTCAGCACACGCATCTTTAACTGCTTACACTCCAGGTACAGCAAAAGTTTTCGCTGCGTGTCTGCAAAGTTTCTATGCTGCTGGCCTCTGTCTCCCATCTCGCTCTGCCTCGCTCCCCATTTCTCTGTCTCTCTCTGTAGTCCAAGCAACAATCTCATATCGTTATTCTGTTTGTATACATTACACTTTTTCTACCGTTTAAGTGCCATTATACCTCTATGTGCTTCCTGTCAAAGCGCTTGTAACTTTGAACACGCGCTAGCACACACATGTCCACACACACACCCCCACACACACACAAGTGTCTAAACAGCTAGCTCGGCTATGTTGATTTTACTTGAAGGCCAGCTAATAGCATTTTGTTGTTTTTTAATTAACAATATTTAAAGTAAAATTAAAATAGAAAATAAAAACTGACAAATCTATGATATTTAGATCCAATATTATTTTGTCATTATTGAAACCTCGTATTTTCAGCATTTAAACAAAAACGATGCACAATTTTACTTATATTATGTAATCTAATCTGCTAAATTAGTTTGGTTATTCCTTAAAAAAAAATTCTTAAGCAAATTTGAAACAATATTTTTTGCTTATTTACTAATTTGGCAATGAAATCAAATTGGTTTATTGATAAAGTTGCCAAAATTTACCTTGCAAAATGCTAAGCCAAACTATTCTATATATTCAAAAAGCAAAGTGCACAAACATAAACATAGGCACAACCGGGTTTAAGAATAATTGTTGTTGATCTGAATGCTTTGCTGTTGACATTGGCATCAAATTGTTTTATAGCAACTGCTCGCAAAACTAAACAGTAAACATTGGCAAGCCACAGTCGTTGTACGATTTGTTTTTTAAGCAAAAGGCACACAAGGAAGGTAAATGAAAAATGCTATGAAAAAGAGTGGAAAAAAATGCACACAAAATTTAAGATAGAAATGTCGGATGAAAGGGGAAACACTCGAAATAACTGCAAAAAGCGCGCACAAAAACATCTGAATTTGCAGCAGAACAGCAAAGAACTAAGCGGGCGTGGGCGTATATGACTGTAAGATACCTTTTAGAAGTTGCTAATACTTAAATGAAGAATCTCTGCCGACTGGCGACTGGGCTTCAACTCATATAGTCTTCAACATAAAACTTTCTTTATTAGCTGAAAAGCTCCTTTATATAAGAAAGTCGAACGGACATAGTTATAGTCAGTGATCTATTGATGGGGCTCCCTTGTGGTAATGATAGATTAATGCTCTTAGAGTTGCCTGCCCCTGCCTGTTACATGTTATTTGTATTAAAATATTATACCCTCTTTTGCTTAAGTGAGCAGAAAAAGTGAGCTTCGGCTAAGGCAAACAAAATTTGCAATCAAAGTTACGCTATTTTCGCTTCTTCTTTTTGACCATGGCCAGCAAGTTTTAGCGTTTCGGATTGTCTGTACACTGGTTAATTGAAAATCAAAACTGTTTTGCAAAAATCAATTACTTGTCAGTCGAGAGAAGTTGAAGAACTTCACAATCTAGTAAATTATTATTGGCTGGCGAGTAACTAGGAAGAGAACTTAAAGCTCTACGTAACTTGTAAATAAGAAGATGCAAATGTTTTGTATTGTTTTCGTTCTGTTAAGGTTCGGCAAAAAATAATTCATGGAAATTTTCAATCGCATTTTCGGTAAGCCGCTTAAATGGCCGCTTGAGCCGTGGGGATAATAGCTAGCAAACATCTGACAATTTGAACATGGACGCAGTACTGAGCTGGACATGGACATGGACTGGGGCACGTGATAAGCATAGCAAAGTAACATTCAAATCCAATGCCAGAAAGTGACAAACAAGCAGAAAGCAGAGCAAAGCCAGAGACAGCATTGAGCCTCTGGAGCATGGACAATTTAACGGACTTATTTATTTATGAAAGCCAAATGCATTTGGGTCGCTCGACAATGGAAATTGTGACCAAATCATGAAATTGAAATTGCCAGCAAAGCCAATTTGGTAGACACGCACGCACGTATACCTTGGCCATTTGACCCCATTGGACGACAGGTCAATAAAGTTAAAATTCTGCTCTCAGATTTTTTGCTAAATAAATAATACACATAAGTACCGATATTTTCCTTCTAAATACATTTCAAACAACTTATTTGCATTTATGCTCCAGCCTGCAAAAAGCAAACGAGTCAAAACAATTTCTCATAATTGCAATTATTTTTTGTCACTACAAAGTAAATTTAAATTGTGAACTACATATATATTAAAATAATAGTAGTAGCTGTAGCAATAGAAGTAGTTGAAGTACTAGTTACAACTGACATTAGCAGTCCTATTAGTAGTAAAAATAGTAGCTGTAGTAATAGTACAACTATTAGTAGTAGAATTAGTGGTATCTGTAGTAGTAGAAGTAGCAGATGAAGAATCAGAAGTAGCAGTAGAAGTAGTAGTACTAGTAATAATGGTAGTAGAAGCTGTAGTAGTAGTAGTAGTAAAAGTAGTTGTAGTAGTAGTAGTAGAAGTATTAAAAAGATTAGTGGTAATGTAAGACGTAGTAGTAGAAGTAGCAGTGGAAGAAGTGTAAAAGGTGTAGTAAAAGTAGTAGTAGAAGTAGTAGTAGAAGTAATAGTAGAAGTAGTAGTAGAAACAGTAGTAGAAGTAGTAGTCCAGTAGTAGTCGCCGTCGTCGTCGCCAGTCGTCGTCGCAGTCGTCGTCCCCGTAGTAGTCGCCGTCGTCGTCGCCGTCGTCGTCGCCGTCGTCGTCGCCGTCGTCGTCGTCGTCGTCGTCGCCGTCGTCGTCGCCGTCGTCGTCGCCGTCCTCGTCGCCGTCGTCGTCGTAGAAGTAGTAGTAGAAGTAGTAGTAGAAGTAGTAGTAGAAGTAGTAGTAGAAGTAGTAGTAGAAGTAGTAGTAGAAGTAGTAGTAGAAGTAGTAGTAGAAGTAGTAGTAGAAGTAGTAGTAGAAGTAGTAGTAGAAGTAGTAGTAGAAGTAGTAGTAGAAGTAGTAGTAGAAGTAGTAGTAGAAGTAGTAGTAGAAGTAGTAGTAGAAGTAGTAGTAGAAGTAGTAGTAGAAGTAGTAGTAGAAGTAGTAGTAGAAGTAGTAGTAGAAGTAGTAGTAGAAGTAGTAGTAGAAGTAGTAGTAGAAGTAGTAGTAGAAGTAGTAGTAGAAGTAGTAGTAGAAGTAGTAGTAGAAGTAGTAGTAGAAGTAGTAGTAGAAGTAGTAGTAGAAGTAGTAGTAGAAGTAGTAGTAGAAGTAGTAGTAGAAGTAGTAGTAGAAGTAGTAGTAGAAGTAGTAGTAGAAGTAGTAGTAGAAGTAGTAGTAGAAGTAGTAGTAGAAGTAGTAGTAGAAGTAGTAGTAGAAGTAGTAGTAGAAGTAGTAGTAGAAGTAGTAGTAGAAGTAGTAGTAGAAGTAGTAGTAGAAGTAGTAGTAGAAGTAGTAGTAGAAGTAGTAGTAGAAGTAGTAGTAGAAGTAGTAGTAGAAGTAGTAGTAGAAGTAGTAGTAGAAGTAGTAGTAGAAGTAGTAGTAGTAGTAGTAGTAGAAGTAGTAGTAGAAGTAGTAGTAGAAGTAGTAGTAGAAGTAGTAGTAGAAGTAGTAGTAGAAGTAGTAGTAGAAGTAGTAGTAGAAGTAGTAGTAGAAGTAGTAGTAGAAGTAGTAGTAGAAGTAGTAGTAGAAGTAGTAGTAGAAGTAGTAGTAGAAGTAGTAGTAGAAGTAGTAGTAGAAGTAGTAGTAGAAGTAGTAGTAGAAGTAGTAGTAGAAGTAGTAGTAGAAGTAGTAGTAGAAGTAGTAGTAGAAGTAGTAGTAGAAGTAGTAGTAGAAGTAGTAGTAGAAGTAGTAGTAGAAGTAGTAGTAGAAGAAGTAGAAATAGTAGCAGTAATAATAGTAGTAGTAGAAGAAGTAGAAATAGTAGCAGTAATAATAGTAGTAGTAGAAGAAGTAGAAATAGTAGCAGTAATAATAGTATTAGTAGTAGACGTAATAGTAGAAGTTTGTGAGTTACTGATTTATAACTTTGAGAACTCGACCTGCAGTTCGCACTCACTTGTCTACAGCGCAACTGCAAGTCGTGCTTTATAGGCTTAAACAATTTCACATAACGCAATTAAAAGAAAATCTGAAATGAATTTCAATTTTGTGTCACAAACAAATACCTCGTTGTCAATGGGAAATTAGAGTGGTTGACACTAGTGTATTATTTATGAATGGAATTTGCATATGTAACAAATTTAACGCTTATTTGTTTTTATGTAAATTTCGTATGTGCTGAATAAATTTTTATCCGACAGAACAATTTGTCGGGCGAATGCAATAAACGGAAATATTTACAACTACAAATAATTTGAATGTTAAAAATGAGTTTAAATTGGAAGTAAGATATTGTAAAAATAGGTAAAAAATCCTTTTGACAGTTGAATATTAAATATTTATTTATTTATTCCATATTTGTATTTATTGGAATTCAATTCTAAACAGAAAACACTTTAGTTTTGAAAGAGCGAAGCAATTAGCAATTAGCTTAACGCGCTAATCGCTAGTTATTTTGTAATTATAAATTCTAGAGCGTTTGAATAAAAACAGCTAAGAGCTTTGATTTAGTGCGGCAGACACGCCCACCGACAACACGCCTCAAAGCTGAACAAAGCGCTAGGAAAATTAAAGAGGCCAGCATAGAAAACATCGACCCACTCACCTCATATGTTAGGTGGGTTAATAACCGAGTTGCATGAAAATTAATTGCGAAACATTTAAGCCAAACAGCAAGGGCCAAGATATGGTAGGAAGCATAGAGTCGGCTGGGTTGGCGTGCAAACTATGATGCCAGCCAGCTAGGGTCTGAATGTACCTTAAGTTGACCCCATCTTATGAGAAATAATTAAAACTTTTAAATAAAGCTGGCGGCCAGATGAGTATCAAGCTGGACCTACAATTTAATTAGGCAAATAACTAGTTTAACATTCGAACTTTGGCGCCCCACGTAAAACACTAAACACCTTAAACTCCTGGTCCTTACAGCTCTCGCACCGCACTTCAAAAGTCAGCTTTAATTTGCCCTGGCAACAAACAATGCAGAAAACACGAGCGAGAGGGACGTAAAGCAGAGGTAGTTTCCCTTTGCTTGAGTAGGCGACTCAAGAGTGCTGCACGCAAAATAACTTAAAAACCGCAAAGTGGCTGGTAAAAACTATTTAAGTTTATGCGATAAGGACAATAAAAGCAGAGCAACAGGGTGGCACACGCCTGCCCTGCCACAATCACTCTCTCCCTCTCCCATTGTCGCCTTTCCCTTTGCCCACTCCACAGGCATTTTCTATTTCATTTCCCCCAACTAAAAGTGCTGCATACTTATAGGCAACCGCAATATTATCATTGTGTGTGTGTGCGTGTGTGTGTGTGGGCGCGTGTGTAGTTATGTAATTATGGTAATTAAAAGAGCACCGACTTGTCTTCCTCCTGCCTTATTGTACAGTGAAGCACCTTTTTGGCTTTTTATGTTCTCCTTCAGTATAATTTTATTTCATCACGTAGCTGGAAACACATTGAACAAGACACAAGTTTTTGGTATTAAAGCTAACTACAGATAAACATTTTATAGCTGGCTATGCCAAAGACAACTATTCTTGGCCTTATGAATGTTTCCTACAAGACCAAAAACCTCGTTAAAGTAGTATAAAATAGTTCTTAATGACATACAAATATTTATTTTGCACTTTAACTTATGTAATATGCACAATCATTTTTGCTTTCTAAGCTCAATTGCATTATCTGATTCATGCAGCAAAATGTCTTAGCTCATCATACAACCACATTTGACTTGATGGCCAAACTATTTGCACACATAAACTAAATTAATGTTGCCTTTTTATACATTTACTGACAATTAGACATGCAAATCAACTGAATACAAATCACTTTAATTTCATTAAAATTAAATCTGCCTAATGAGTGTGAAACTTGTCTTCATAGCTTTTCTTTCTGGCGTATTAATTGACTGAAAAACTATTGCTCGACTTAATATGTAAAATTGTATTATTCTCATATGTAAATATATGAGAAGTCTGTTTGGTTTGCAACGCTCAAACTTAAGAGAGAAGAAATCACTGAACTCTGAGGTTTACCTTATCATAGAACGGTTCGGTGCTTGAAAAGCAACAGACAGAAAGATAAACATGATCTGAATGTGTGTATATCGACACCAATAATATGCATACACAATGAGATACTAGGGAATTGCTTCTGAGAACTGGGAAAACTCTTAGCATCAGTTAAAAGAAAATATTTATTTACAACAGCAGCTAATGGGCTATAAATTGCTCGCCTTATCAATGAACTTTATGCAAGTAACTTCATTGCTTAATTTTAAGTTATTTCTTTTGTAACCGAAAACTTAAAAACTAAATCAAAACCAAAACTGCGAAACCCCAACAACAACTCTAAAGTTTTATCATATGCAACATATTGTACGCGCCAGATGCGAAAGTGATGGCAAGACTATCTCTTGGCTTTATTTTTCTTCTGGATGAAAGCAACATGAGCAGAGACCGAAAATGTGTTTAATATCATATTAGTTTCGCATATTCATTTGATTTTGATTTAATAAATACATTTGCATTTAAAAACGAGATGTCAATGGTCGCCTCAGCTTACAAATCAATGACTCTGTGAGCTAATCGCGTGGCCAGACAATAAGCCACCAAAATAAACCAGTATACAGATATATGTAGATGTATATATATATATATTTATGGCTAATGCTGGCGCCACAGCTGTGCTTTCACTTTTCGTGGCATTTGCAAAAACGGTAGCACCATCGGAATCAAAGCTAAGTAACGCCAGAGGCGACTCAATGAGCGATAAGTATTCACCTTTCACACAGCTGCCCGCCTGCATACGAATGTGGCCATTAATCGCGTTCGCTTCTGGTCGCATAGAACGAAACGAAAATTGAATACCTGAGTGTGTGTGTGAGTGGCTCAAATAAGATCAGCCGTGGCCGTTGGGCTGATGGGGCCGAAAGCAGAAGCCGTTAGCAAAACAGGTGAGAGATGCGTTGCGTTGTTGCAATTAAGAAATCACGATTTTGTACTCAACGCGCGCTCAAAAATGAAATCAAGCGACAACTGTATTGATTATGTGATGTGCTTCGAATTCAATTTCTGCCTCATTTCAGTTTTATTTTCATCTATTTTTTTTTTTTTTTCTGACTTGTAAATAATTTCACATTTAAAGCGATTAAATTTCGCTTATGGCCTTGATGTTGCCCAAGTGACGCTCCTCAAAGCAGAGTGTTGAGTGTTGTCTTGCTACTTCAATTACTTGGGCTTAGTTTGATTTGCTTTTTACTGGGAGCCACGTCTCTTCGACTGCTCATGAATGGTTTCCCATAACTTGCATAAACATCATTAGACATAGCGGCTACAATGCTGTTAACCAGGGTTTCATTCCTCTGCTACTGGAAAGTCAGTTACACAGCTTTTGGGCCATTGTAAACCGTGGTACGCTTGATTAATTAACAATTATTTAGGCTGTACCTGTCATATTGAAATATATGGTATTTTTTTGGTAGCTAGTTAAACTTAAGGTCAACCAAATAACAAATTACGTCAATTATAGAAGGGCATAAATCAAATTTTGAGTTGAAAATTAAGCAAAGTAGGAAACTTTAAGTACTTAAAAATAGATTTTTTATTATTTATTATATTTCTTATTTCTTTAAAAGGTTTGCTTTTGTCTAAATATAAAAGATCGAAGGGAATTAATTAATTAAAATTCCGAAAAGTCGTAAGGCTCACATATTTCAAACAAATACGGATTTCTACTCAAAAAGCCTTTTTCATTAACTAAAAACGTTTGTTATTCTAAATAAGTATCATTCTAAGAAACTTATTCCGCCTCTTGTCAGCCAGTTGAGGCATTTAACACCTTACAGCAAACAGCACACCCTAAAACTGCAATAATGAGTAGAAATAATCGACTGCATAATGCTCTCTTAGGTTTCCAAAACACTTAAGTCAATTTAATTCTATCCCTACTAGACACCTGGTTCATGGGACTATGTGTAGCAGAGATCAGTTCTGAGTCAACTGAAACTATTTGACGCTCTCGAGGCTTGAAGACAATTAAAGCTTGTTGATTAGCAGTGCTTCCAGGCAACAAAAAAATATAATTTTTGATCAACCTATAAAGAAGATCAACTAAGATCGAAATTTATATACTTAAAAATGTCAAGTTCCACTTTCCCTCACATCACACGCACAGGCAGAGAGCAAGAAGGGCCAATATACTCCTTTTGCTCTATGAGGAAGTATAATTCAAGTATATTCAACATTTTATTGACAATAATAATGATCAATTAGATGCTACTTATATTAGCAAAGCAAAGTCGCGTAAGGCTTTTAACGTCATTTGTATTCATAAATCTAAAATTTAATGAAAGCTTCTGCTTACAGCGCGCCACGTTCAATTGCAATCAACAATCGCAGAAACTCATCAATGTCAATCCAAAGTAGCCAATCAGCTTGGCTAATAATACCACAAGACATAGAAATTTCTATCATAATTTGGCTAAAGACAATAGACAAACAGAACCAAACAGCTACGCGCAAATATTTGCCAATTAAACATTTTACGTAAGTTTTTTTCCCTCTCAAGTATTTACCTGGGCAATAATAATAAATTTGACATCATTGCGGGTAAAAGCATAAAATACATACGCAAACCTTGTTATTTATAAATGTAAATGCTTGAGTTGAGCAACTGCTGCCGGTGTTGGGCAGCTTCTAGAAGCGCGGCAACTCGATAGCATTGAACCCGCTGACTCGGTTCAGCCCCAACGACCTAGTGATCAATTAATATCAATAATATTATTAATATTATTATTAGCGGCTGTCATTTGAAGATGCCGGCAGCTACTTAGCAACCCCAAAGCTTCAACGCCCCAACGCGTTTTACTTAGCCGTTATTTATTTACCTTCAATTTACAATTCGACGCCGTCGCCGTCGCCGTCGTCGCTGATGATGCTGACGACGCTTACGCAGACGCAGAGGCAATCGCCGTCGTCGACGTCGCCGGCTTGGACTTGGACTTGGTAAATGAAGTAACCTGGCCTTGTCGCGCGCCAGTCTCTGCTTAACATTTGCGCGTCGCGCTTGGCTCCAAACTCATCGCCTCCAAACTATTCGCGCACAAGCTCCGATCGCGACATTCGGCCATTATTATACATTTTTTGGGCAGCGCGTAAATCGGCTTAAATTATAGAATCCAATTTGCCTTAAAGCCTAATCAGCGTGCAGCGATTTATCAGCCAAAATGCCGCAGCATAAATTGAAAACGGTAATTGCAAAACGGGACTCAAGTTAACCAGTGCAAAAGCGATCTAAAAATAGCTTTCCAAATTACGGTGATTATTCGTTTAGATAACAAAACAAACTTCGTCTGGCCATGGCCATATACTATCTAAAACTAATTAGAGCCTTGACTGCTAAGCTCTTTTTTAGATAACAATATTTCATTTAAGTACTTACTGCTAATAAAAATGTTAATAAGACTCTAAATAACTATAAAAATAGCAATAAAAAATTAAATTAATAAGTTTTGTTTTGCCTTTCTAAATCACAAACATCCAGCCTTTAGTCATGCTATATTTAATAAAGTAAATAATATTAAATATTTATTAAAAACAATTTACTTACAAATTTTCTTTAAATACAATACAATATACCAGTGTTTCTTAAGAAATTTAATTATATTATTAAATATATTTTTATATAAGTATATTTTATATTTTTATGCTATGAATAACTTTTGCTCCTCTCTAGATCCTGCAAAACTTACTTCTATAGCCAATATATCATGTTCGTTAAGTGTTAGATAGTTCCCACTTTTCTATTGTTATTTGTTGGCGTAGTATAGCTAAATAGTTTAAGAATCTTTTAACCAAGAATCAGATGTAGTATCGAGTCGAATACATCATTTAGGACTACCCTATCGAACGTAAGCAATTTGATTTGATTTGATTCCAATTTTCATTCCGAATTTATTAGAAAACCTTTTCTGGTTCTTGGTTAATAAATTCTGTTGGCCTTTGTTAATTGTTAACTGTTAATTTGCTAATTAAGCAGTTTACATATAATAGTTCTTATAGTTGTATTTATTTTATATTATATTATATATTTTATATTTTTTAATTCTTCTTCTAATCTATAGCACTTTAATTTATTCCAAATCAAACTTAGCTTAAACATTTAAATGGTCTCCTTCTATTACAGCCCATCTATTCAGCATTGTTCGCCATCAGCTTGATTGGCACATCGCTTGCCGCTCCAGTTTCAAATTTTGACAATAATCTCGTGACATATCCAGATGAGCCCAGTGAGGTGCTGCCCATTGAGCCGCTGTTAGTCTATCCGGAATCGCGGGAAATTCTCTATCAGGCGCGCACGCTGGAGGGCGATGGTGAGCAGGACATTATCTTTGTCAAGCTGCTGAAGGACAAATTGGATGGCTATCGACCCAAGCAGCAGCGACTTGTGGAGAAGCAACAGCGGCGCAAGGAGCTCAGCCTCAAGGACATTTTCTTTGTTAAGGCGCGTGCCAATGGCCAGTTCAGCCATGAGCGCTTGAAGGTCTATCGACTGCCCGAGTTCTATGCGATCAGCGTTTTTCGCAACGGCGAGAAATGAACAGCCGAAGGGTAATTCCGAACGCAGCACCCTTGCTGCAGCTAAGCTTTAAGTTTTTTATGTTATGTATATAAGCCGCTATAAATAAATGCCTCTGAATTTGTTCAAACACTGCTGAAAGGCTCTTATCAGACACGCTTTGGGTTGGCGATTTACATCCATTTCAATTATCCATAACAAAGGCGACCGCAATTGCCGCTGAATGATGGGCGGTGGCAACAACGCCATCCCCCAAAGCCCCTGACAACTTCAATTTCACGCGCTTCACACCGGGTTCACGTCGAGCGGCAATTAATAACTGTCAGTCAATTGGTTGCCACAACTAAAGCCAACTCAAAGCTCCAGCATCACAACAAAGAACTAATCCCTTTTGTCATCGACCATCGTAGACCGCGGGCCAAACATTACGTCAAATTCATAGAAAGCACAAATAGCAACAAAATGCCACGAATTGAAAGCTGGCTCCGAGCCGCTGTGCGAATACACTTGCCAAATAAGTTAGATGATAGTTTCAGTCGAAGGGAGACATTGGGTACAAATGAAAGCAAGGCCGAAAACGAAATTGTACAAAATTCAGATGTCGTAGAACCTTAACGTTTGATTGCTTGAATTTCTAGTAGCCTATGTTGAACTGAAGCACAACATTCTGAAACCACGGAAGTTCTTGCGATAGTGGGAATATACCTATTACTATTTCAGGAATTCTAACTTATGCTATGTTTAAAAACTCGATTATATATATAATATAATGGGCCGAGCCGACAACTCTGAGTTGATATTGATATATATATTATATATATATATACAAGCCTATATATATATATATATATATATATAACCGATAGCAAGACAAATATGTAGACGGTCAAACAAGTTGTTGTTGAAATTAAGAATAAATAAAGTATTTTATAGAGATAGTGCGAGTGCATATTCCAAACTCAAATCATCAAATAGCTCATCAATAATTTACAAGCTTTGGCGCATTTGAGAAATTTGTACGGCAAAGTTATTTAAAAATATTTGTAAGCTTTTGTTGCGGACTTTCGCTCAGCTATTTGGAAGTCTGAAGCACGTTCACAGCTTTATAATTCTGCGCACATTTGCTCCACTTACGAGATAGACTTAGAAGACAGTGCACAAAATACAATTCAAATAGGGATTGGGTCAAAATTATGAAAATTTCATTATTTACTAAAAGAAGCACAAATAGCTTCAAAATGATACTTATTACATTAATATAAATTGTCCGGTGCTCAGCTAACCATCAGACGTGGGGCTATGTTCATGGACATGAGCTCCTGGAAGAGCAGCTTGGCCGCGTACGGCAGACGCACTTGCGAGATTTGCGTCTTGTTCTTGCAGCCTTTGCACTCGAACGTATTGTTGCGCAGATTGGCGATGGCAATCAGACCACAAAAGTTGCAAATATGCACGCGATACGGATCGGACACTTCGAACAGACGTTCGCGAAGGAACTGAGCAGCGCCGTGAGAGATTTGACAATCGCGCTCCATCTCACCAAAACGCAAGCCGCCGTCACGTGCTCTGCCCTCCATGGGCTGACGCACAAGGATCTGCACTGGACCACGCGCACGTGAATGGATTTTGTCGTCCACCATATGCTTGAGGCGCTGATAGTAGGTGGGGCCCAGGAACACCTTCAACGGAAAAAACACATTATTTCAATTTAGTTCACACAACTCGGATTTTCCACTTACCTGAGCGTTAATTTTGCGTCCGGTGTGGCCATTGTACATGACCTCATTGCCACGCAGGTGATATCCATACTCCTGCAGGAAAGTAGAAATCTTCTGTACGTTGACGGCATCATTGAAGGGCGTGGCATCGCCGATCTCGCCCTTATTGGAGCCCAGCTTTCCTTGCAGACACTCGATTAAATGACCAATTGTCATACGTGAGGGAATAGCATGGGGATTAATGATAATATCTGGCGCTAATCCTTCGCAAGTGAACGGCATGTCCTCCTGTCGATACTGTATACCGCAAGTACCCTTCTGCCCGTGACGAGAGGCAAATTTGTCGCCAATTTGTGGTATGCGCACGGACCTCACACGAATCTTGCAGAACTTGTAGCCTTCGCTGTTTAATGTCAACATAACCTGATCCACTATACCCGTCTCAGAGTTACGCAAGAAAGTAGAAGCATCACGCTTGGCGAATCGCTTCGTATTGCTGTCCAGCTCATCATCGTTTTCGGGCAGCGTTATTGTCTTGCCAATAACGACATCGTCTCCGGAGACACGTATGCCAGGTGCAATGATGCCATCATCGTCCAGTTTGTCATAATGAGCGTTTCGCATACCCTGGCAGGTGCCACGATGCGGTTTCTCAAAGTTCTCCTCCTGATCACCGACACGTTTATTCTCCGCATCTTTGTACGACCGATAAAACACCGAACGGAAGAAGCCACGCTCCACAGCAGACGCGTTTAGAATAACAGAATCCTCCTGGTTGTAGCCAGTGTAGCACAAAATAGCCACAATCGAGTTAATACCCGCAGGCAGCTCACGGAAACGCAAATACTCCATGGATCGCGTGGTAACCAGTGGTTTCATGGGATAATACAGTACGTGCGCCAAAGTGTCCATACGAACGTGGAAATTGGTTATATAAACACCCATAGCCTGCTTACCTAGAATTCGGAAATAAGTAGAAATTGTTATAAACATTTTACTCAGAGCAATAATCTTCTACTTACCCATAGCGCTTTGATAGGTGTTACGTGGACTCTGATTGTGATCGGGAAAAGGTATAATTGAGGCACAGACGCCCAGTATCATGGCCGGATGAATCTCGCAGTGGGTGTAGGTGGTACAATAGGCGTAGTCTTTGTCCTGTTTGAGATCGTAGGGCGACATGGCAATCATGACCGTTTCCTCTTCGAGCGTATCAATGTATTCAACGACACCAGAAGCAACCAGCACCTGCCAGCTGTAGTTGTTGTAGTCTCGCTCCTTCAACATCTCCACGTGAGTCTTCTTCAACAGCAACGTACCATTCTCCACAATGAGCAATGGTCTACATATACGGCCCGCGTCTGTGTAGATTCTGATCTCGCGGTCACGAATGTCACGAATCATGGACACCTCCGATACAATAATATCCATCTGACGACGTAGCTTACGAAGTGTAGCCATCAGCTGCTCCGGATCTCTATGTATGCCCACCCAACAACCATTCACGAAGATTTTGGTAGCATCTGCAATCGCAGAGGGGGCAATTTCCTCTAGATTCTCCATGGACCACTCTTCCAAGAACTCAAGAATTGGCGACGGCTGTGAGCCCACAGAAATATAGGCCATCAAAGCCAAATTCTTTACCAACCCCACAGCTGCGCCCTCAGGAGTCTCTGCCGGGCACAACATGCCCCAAAGTGTGTTGTGCAACTGACGTGGCTTAGCCAGTTTGCCATCGCGTCCAATAGGCGAGTTGACGCGACGCAAATGAGACAATGTGGAGGCAAATGTGAGGCGATTCAACACCTGCGAGACGCCGGCACGAGCCTGATGCGCCTTCTTCTGATCGCCCCAGTTGCCTGTGGCCAGCGAGTAGCGCAGACCGTCTGTAATAATGTTTGTTTTGATAGCAAGCTCCAAATTGAAATCTTTGCCGCGGTCAATGAACTTTTGTGTATACATGCGCACTTCTTTCATTAAGTTTTTAAAGAGGCCGCGGAATAGGAAGGCCAAAAGCGGACCAGCAAGATCCAGGCGCTTGTTGCCATAATGATCACGATCGTCGAGCTCACGACGACCCAGCGAGGCCAGCAGCAAGCGATGTACCATGTAGCCTAGGAAATACGCCTTCTTTGTCTCGCAAAAGTCAGAGACACCGACATGCGGCAGCATTTCCTTTTGTAGAATTTCCTTGGCGTACTTAATACGCTTATCCTTGGTGACGCCGGGACGTGCGCCGCGAGCACCAATGAAATTAAGGGCGACATTCTGCTCCTGAACCACAAACGCCTCGTCCAGTGAGGGCTTCACCATCTCCATCATCTCTGGATCGTCAAAGTCGTATATAATGTGCTCCAAGATATCACGATCAGCCACAAAGCCCAAGGCACGAAACACTATCATTATGGGTATCTCTTGTTTAATGTATGGAAGTATGGCGATTATACGCTGTCCAATCGCAGATTTCTTAATGTTTTGCGAGCCACGAGCCATCATGTTCACCCAGAGCGTGGAGGTGGGACGCGAGCTGTGCTCCAGGCAGGAGCGTATCTCCGTTTTGAATGCGTATTTGCCATCTTTCATGCTGAATACATACACTGTATTCGTGGCCATCTTCTCCTGAGCGATAAGCACTTTCTCTGATCCGTTAATAATGAAGTAGCCACCCGGATCCAGCGGACACTCGTTTAACTCGGTCAAATCACGATCGGTGAGCTGCGAGAGCAGACAGTATGTTGATCTCAACATTATGGGAATTTTACCAATGAACGTTTTCTGATGCTGTGTTTCCACGGGATCCATGCCCTCAACATTCTTTGTCTTTGTAATATCCACATAAAGTGGAGCTGAGTAGGTCAGATTGCGCAAGCGTGCCTCGTTAGGCATCATGGGACTGGGTGAGCCATCCTTTTCCCAATGCGTCGGCTTGGATAAATAAATCTGCTCGAATTTGAGAGAGAATCGAGGAGGTGTCTCTACTTCGCCGGATGTGTGCTGGGCCTCCGCCTGCAGCTCAATGGCCGGTGAGTCCTCGACAATGCGCTGCACAGACATTTGTATAAACTCATCGAAGCTGTCCAGCTGCTGACGCACAAGGCCCTTTTCGTCGAAGTAAGCGTTGATAACAATCCAGCAGGCTTCCTGCCACAGCTCGTGCGAGATTTCCTCTGCATTTTCCTCATCAAAATTCTCTGCAAAAATATTTAGTTTTCAGTGGATTTCATGCAGACAACACAAGCCACTACGCCGCCATGTTAATTTTTTTGCACGGCGTGCATTGCCATTTCGAAACATATTCTTACCTTCTTCATTATCGTACATCATGTTGTCTTAATTGTTTTTGTATTGCACTTGGTGCACTGAAGAAAATAAAACAAATTGTTATTCTAACAAGCTTTTAATAGTTTAATAAATTAATGAAATTGACACGAAAAAATCTACAAGCACCGCAACTGGCGGCGATTTTGTTGGGACTAGTGATGTGCTCATAACGCCACAGAACGATATTTTTCAGTGTTTCATAACGACATGTCACCTATCGATATCTTAAAGAGCTCGGTATGCTGTACACAATGATTAACAAAACACATCATTGTTATCATGGGCGATTGGTCGCACTACGTATTATTTTCTACAGATGTTGGAACAAAACGTTTTTTGACATATTCGACGTTGAATATAAACGCTTTTATAAGCTAATATGTAAATACCTTATTTATTTAATTTAATAGCTGATATGATTTCGGCCTTATAAAAGGAATCGAATAATTGCTAACTTATGGCTCAAGCATGAATGATTTTCCATTTAAACTACACTTTATTCTCGTTTCTTTATCTGCTTATGGTTTTCTGTTTAAAAACTATTTGCAACCGCCTTTTCGATATTGCGTGCACATCACTATCAGCCGGGAACAGCTGTTTGTACCGTTGCATGTTTTTCTTTTCTTTTTTTTGTTATTTAACGCTGGACTTCACATGAGTTTTTTAAGAAAAGGCGGTCGGTTCTTGATTGCCGGCATTCTGCCGGGCATTGACCACAGCGCAAACGATATTGTCGACAAAGAAAGCAAAACTTACAAATCTTTCTTAGAGAATAGGCCCAAAGATGAAACGGGCCTGGAGCGACTCAAGCAAATGTTTACCGTGGAGTAAGTAAAAGATGCTTAAGCAACGTCACGGTAATTGAAATAACGACTCTTGCAGTGAATTCGGCAGCATATCCACAGAGCTCAACTCCATATACCAGTCAGGCTTCCTCGGTTTCCTTGTAGGAGTCGTCTATGGAGGTATTACACAATCACGAGTCAGCTACATCAACTTCATGGAGAACAATCAAGCGACCGCATTCAAATCGCACTTTGATGCCAAGGTAAAATAAGAAGTTATATAAGAAGTTCAATAACAAGATTTACCGATAATTCTTGCAGAAAAAGCTGCAGGATCAGTTTACGGTGAATTTCGCGAAAGGCGGCTTCAAATGGGGATGGCGTGTCGGTCTCTTTACCACTTCCTACTTGTAAGCCTTTATAGAGATCTTATCCTGCCAGACCCTTAACAAATTGTATCTTCCACCAGTGGAATAATAACCTGTATATCTGTCTACCGTGGCAAGTCGTCAATTTATGAGTACCTAGCAGCGGGCTCCCTAACTGGCGCCATCTATAAATTGAACATGGGTCTGCGTGGCATGACCGCTGGAGGCATAATTGGTGGCTTTTTGGGTGGCGTCGCTGGTGTGGCATCGCTGCTGCTAATGAAGGCTTCGGGCACCACAATGGAAGAGGTGCGCTACTGGCAGTACAAATGGCGCGTGAAGCGAGATGATGACATCCAGCAAGCCTTCAAAAACCAGGCCGAAAAAGATGCGCCCGAACTATTCACCGCGCACGACAAGCGCGTGGGCGATACGGTAACATTGGAGTCGGTCAAGTGAAGCATCTCAATGTAACTTTAGATATCGTTTATTTAAATAATAAATTGCAATAATGTCCTTGAAATGGTGTACAGACAATACAATTAAGGAAGCCCAAGTTGGCCACTGCTATGCGTTGTTTCAGTTGATGCCTAGTGCAACTAAAGATACAGATATGACTCAGATACATTTGAAGAACGTGAAAATGGAGCACATAATTGAAATGCAATAAATTAAATGCTTTGCGAGGAGAACAAGAAACATAAAGTAAGTGTAAAGAATTTGACTCGATAGATTTCAGACATCGTCATCGTTGGAGGGACGCGTTAGGCGCTTGGCTCCGCGATTCGGTGGGCCTTTTGGCTTTGCAAAGGCAGGGCGATGCAATATTTTCTTGGGATGCAGCTCGTCCTGCAGGTATTGCTCGGTGAGTTCGTTACCGCTGTCTATCTCCAGCTGTGTTGTAAATCCAATTTAGTTTAAGAGCGCCTTGAACTGAAGTAGATTTACTCACCTTCTTGGCTACTTCCACGCCGTAAGAGGCGAGCTCTTCGAGAAACGGAGCCTTGCAGCTCGAGTACATCATGCGTTCACGCACGGAGCAAGAGTATCCTGGCATAGAGTATATGAATACAAAGGACTCCAAGTAGTCGCCCTCGTGGGTGTGCTTAAACAGATACAGATGGTATCGCGCATGATCGTCGGGCACCTGCTTTGGCAGATCGCTCAATTCCACGTTGGCTGCATTAGAGACGTGTATGCGCTCCTCCTCCAGACTAATACGAAACTGCAAATAGTCGTAGTTGCCGCGCAACATGTCCTGCACCGCTGTACGCGTTGCGTCGGTCAGTGGACAGGAGATGCCGCCAAGCGTCTGGTGTCGTGTCTCCGTGGATATCTCAGTGCGCACTTCAGATCTTTGGAGTTCCTTCATCTCTTCCTCACGCATGGTAAGCGGCGCCGGCGCAGCAAATTCACGCTTATGCTTTTTGTAGCCCTCCAAAGTAGTTTCTTCTAAGGTCGTAGCGTGCAGCTCCTCCATGATGTACGCTGAACCAAATTCGGTCTTGAGTGTTGCTTTTGTTGAAGCGTAGACCATCTTTTGGCGAATGCTGGCAGTGTCTGGAGTCCAACTGATTAGTAGCCAGCCATAACCCAGAGGTATTTTTGTATCCGTACGGTACAAGATATAGCAGGGAACACTCTCCTCGAAGAGGGGCGACAGAAGCTTATCGTAGTCACGTTCCCAGTCTTTTTTCACATCAGCTGTGGCGCTGCAGCTGAGCTGTTCTGTGCGGGCGAATCAGTAAACGGAAATAACATTTCCGGATGGGTGCTCATATTAATTTATATTCATATATACATTTGTGTGTGTGTGTATTTCACTCACCATTTTCAATTGATACTTTTATCACTCGTATTTTACCGTTTTTGGCCTTTGCAAATACTTTCGCTAGGTGCTCGTTGGCTGACAAGAATTAATATCGTTAATATCAAGAGTGTTATTATTTATTTTTATTTCTTGTACTAACTCCAGCTTACCTTTGATGCCCGTTTGGTGCGACATTGCGAACTGAAAGTAATTCTAAATTCTAATAGGAGAAAAAAGTGTATTACTCACAAAAAGAAAAGCGGCGCTGCCAGCTATTTTTATGTTTTGAGGCATAAGTGGCATCGCTGTATCTTTGTTTACAATTTGCACAGAAATAGCTTCCCATCTGGCAGCGCCAATTTAGAGTAGTGCGACCAGATTGGGTGCAGAGAGCAGTGCGTTTTACAGCACTGTGACTTGCCCTGCGTTCTTTTCACGTCCGTAAAATGTAAAACAGAAGCTGCATTTAATTGCATTTACAGCGACGCAGTCAAATAAAAAAATTTATTTCAAGCGCAATAGTGAATCAAGTGAGTGAACAAGTATGCCGCAACTTGACTACCGAGCATTCCACGCTCTAATCACAAATAAACTGCACGCTCTCGCTGTCTCTGTCGACATCTCTGTCGCTGCCAACGTCAGCGTCAACGCTCGTCACCGCCCTACTACGACGAATGTTTACTTCCGCTTGTTTATGAAAATGAAATGCAATTATATTTGAAAATTTAACATTTGCTTGTGTTTCTTGCAGCATCCATACCCATGTTAACCGAAGCGCTCATGGCCAGTGACAACATTATGGACGAACTAGCATCTTTGATACGCACCGAAATTCCCGATGGTCGCCAGAGCCTGCGCGACAGCTACACGAATCTTGAGCGTGTGGCCGACTATTGCGAGGACACCTACTATCGTGCCGACAATAAAAAGGCTGCACTCGAGGCCACCAAAAACTACACCACTCAATCACTGGCCAGTGTTGCGTATCAGATCAACACTCTTGCCTATAGCTACATGCAGCTGTTGGACTTGCAGGCGCAGCAGCTCAGCGAAATGGAGTCGCAGATGAACCACATCGCTCAAACGGTGCACATACATAAGGAGAAAGTAGCCAGACGGTAAGGCAATCTGTACAAAAAAAAAACATTTGAATATCTCTAATAATATATTTTTCTTATAGGGAGATTGGTGTGCTGACGGCCAATAAGGTGAACTCGCGCCAGTTCAAAATAGTGGCGCCCATAAATCCCGAGAAACCCATCAAGTATGTGCGTAAGCCCATCGACTATTCCATACTGGATGAGATTGGGCACGGCATCAATTCCTCCACCCAGCATGTTGTACGGCAGAAGCATCGCGGCTCGAGTCATGGGTCTGTTCAATCTCTGGTGCCGTCATCTGTAGGTCCGCCGCCCACCACAAAGCCACCGACACCGCCGCAAATGTCGCGTGCCGGCAACACAGGCACTCTGGGCAAGTCGGTCAGCAATACCGGAACGCTGGGCAAGAGTTCCCGGGAGTACCGCACACCTCCAGTGGTTAATCCGCCGCAGGTACCCTCACACTATGCTCCAAACTATCCAATTGGACATCCCAAGCGTATGTCAACGGCCTCGTCCACCACAACCACCACCACTGGTGGCGGTGCAGCAGGCAATGAGCGGGCCGCAGGTTACAGTGCGCTGCCAATGCCGCCTAGCCAGCAGATTGCCACGCACGTAAATCTGCCCTCGGCGGGCATGATGCAGTCGCTGCCACCGCCGCCGCCCACTACTTACGACGATAGGAGCAGCATGCCACGTAAGTTAAGCGATTTTAATTAATAATTGGAAAGAAAATGCTGAAAATTCTCGTGCTTACCCTTAGCAGCGCCTCCCTCGCCGTTGACCGTCTCGCAGCACGAGATGACCGAACAGAGTCACATTGGCATGCACACCCTGGGTCGCAATATAAACAGGTAAGCAAATATACAAAGCATGATCTCATTATTTGCCTGTATATAACTCATATCGTACCTCTTAATGCCATCTGCTTACCCACAGGAATCCGAATAGGTAAATTGCATGCCTTTAAGGCTTTAGCTAAGTTTTATGCTAATTCTATCGTGTGCCTAGAAATCATTTCAGTTTGAACTTTGCGCGCCCTGGATCGCAATCGCCGCCTTTGCCGCCACCTCCGCCGCCAGAGGATGAGCATCAAGACTTTGGGCGTCCTCGCACTTCAACTGGACCCCAATTGGCGCCCATTGTGCCGGAGGATCAGAACTTACCCGGCTGGGTGCCCAAAAACTACATCGAAAAGGGTAAATACCAAAAAATGTATTTAAAGCTACAGCTCTTTTATATTTTTTTTCATATCTTTGTTTTTAGTGGTGGCTATTTATGATTATTATGCCGACAAGGATGACGAGCTCAGCTTCCAGGAAAGCTCGGTGCTGTATGTGCTGAAGAAGAACGACGATGGCTGGTGGGAGGGTGTTATGGATGGTGTTACCGGTCTGTTCCCGGGAAATTATGTTGAACCATGTGTCTAAACACTGCCAACGGAATTAACAATAACAATAATATGCATTATAACGCAGACGATAACAATTTGCGCATATTGATAATAATAATTATACAACTACAGCCACAGCGCACGCTCTTACAACTATTCCACTAGCATAAACTGAATGGCAACGAGCTACATATAGTTCAATATGTCAACAAAAGCTCACAAACACACATACACACACGCATACATAGACACGCACGCACACTCCAGCAACAATTGTCAAAGCATTTATATTTGAGCGCTCGCTATTTTCTACATAAAGTAAACTATAAACTAATTAAATAATCTAATAGTCGAAAATAGCCCAAAGGAATGAAAAATTCAAGAAATTGAGAACATATATATATATATATATATATATATATATGAACTAAATATTATATTATATATACTGACATATAGACGAATTCGGCCCCAAGTATAAAGTGGTTAAATAACTGCCAGCGCTTACTACAATTTTTGTTTAGATGTTTTTTTTTATTGTTTACATTGCGCTTGCAGCACGCCTCCAGCAGACCCTTAGTTCCCGCAGTATCGTAGGTTATACGAATTTCAGTTAGCCTCTAGCTTTTAAGTATTGGCCAATTGGTTATGCATTTTTTCCATGCACACATATAATTATTTACAACAATACAGCAATATGCATATATAAATAATATTTTGCGCAAATGCATACTAAAGATTTAGTTAAAGTGAAATTGCAAAAACACGAAATCAAATTACATTTATAATATATACAGCTCCATATGCATTATACGGTCTAATAGCTAATAAAAATTTAAAATTTCAAATGCTCTGTTTGTTTGACCATGCAATTTGGCATTGCCCGTTTGCATACCAAGGACTTTTTGACCTTTTCGTGCCGGATGCACTTGCGCGTTGGAAAAATCTTTCATGGAACTCCAGACCCAGACGCAGGCACCTAGCGAAAGTGCTCAGCGGGAAATGCTAATGTGAGTTCGACCTAGTGACTAGTGAATGATGCATGCATGACGTGGGTGCCCGACTGCTCTCAATAAAATATTTACAAATGCCAACACTTATCAAACTCCCGCCCAATTCTATCAATCAATCAATTTCCAATTGCTGCTTGTATATAAACAATTTGCATTTCAATGTCGCGCTCGCAAAACGGTCTAGGACCACCAGCTCCCCAGCCAAGACGACACGGAAATTAATGCCTTCACGTTGATGTGTAACACTTTGTTGCTTGCAACATTTATTATCAAGCCTTATTCACCTGAGTTGAGGCAACTCTTTGTGGCATGGCATGAGATCGATGGGCGGAAATGTTTCGAGTTTTCCGGACAGGCGTCGGCCGCCAACTGGATTCCATTTTGTCGCAGCAAAAACTTAAACCCAAAGTGATTTGCATAAAAGTAAAAAAGGCTTAAGTGTTAGTAAAAAAAAATGAAAATAATATAAAAGCTTTTTATATTGATTTTCTACATTTCTGTAAGGTTGAAAGAAAATTTAATTATATTTATTTTAAAAAATTCTGTAAAACAGGATTATTTATGTTTCTAAATTTTTGTATATATGAAATTATATTTTATTTATGAATTAATTACTTTCACTATAAAATAAATGTTGATATTAATATTTATCATATCAATATTTGAATGCATAAAGAAGTAAAGATATACATATATAATATATCTTCTTCATCATATTAACATTTGAATACAAAAAGAAGTAGCTTAGAATTCATTACCGAAACTTCGGAGTGGTTTGCCCTCTTCTTGGATAATCATGTAGTTTAAAAATACATTAGTTTCGCCTCTAATATATCCTTAAGTGAATCTCATCATGAAGAACTTTAATTTGCATTTACAACTTATTGATATTCGAGCTACTTGAGCTTGTATCGTAGCCATCGGTTGTCGTAATACCCAAGCAGGCCAAAAACTACAAATCCACTCACATTCAAGAATCCCTGGGCAAACCCTGAACTGGCCAACGTCAAAGAAATGTATGCAAAATGGCGCATTAGCATTTCAACAATTCGGAAAACGAGTGGAGTAACAAAAAGGAGAAACAACAACTGAGAAATTGATTGAGCTATGCGGCCAGGACATAACAAAACAAAACTCAACTGAACACAGCACAGAGCCAGCCGGCAGTTAGGGGTGTATCCAATAGCCCCGGCCCGCTGGGCCACACACTATGCCTATAATTTGACCAGAGTAGACCAGGCCAGAGTCCAATAGAGCCGGTGGACTTTCAGTTCAGTTTTGTCAGTCCACGCGAACGGTTCGCTGTTAACGCGAGTCAAGTCGAAAGTGTATATATATATATATATATATAGAAATATATAGAAGTATTTACTCATTTGGGCCCTGCCGTAATATTCAAATAGTTGGCAAACAAACATTTCGTAAGTGCGGCATTCTGCAGAGGTGCTGAACAACTTTGCCATCGAGTAGCGCAAAAGTTTTGTTCTTTTATTTAATTTAATCGATGTTGAGTTTCGGCATATCGTTATGAGCGACCGTTGGTCCTGGCGGTCCTTTAGCTGTTTGCGCATATAATTGACCTAGTTGGAGGCGCTTGCCAGAGCCGCTTATCGCGGCCATCTCCACTCGCATTGCATTTACTTTTAGCTGAATTGTAAAATATTACATTATTTCATGCTACGATTGGGGCCAAACGGGCGTCATTTTGTTTTCAAATGTGCGAAAACTTTCGTAGGCACTGTAAACAATGGCCCCATTCTGGGCCAGGACAAGCTCTTGAGATTGCGGCACGCACGGCTCCTTTGCTAAGACCTTTTCGTTAACGTCTTCAGATTTTTTTTAATTGCGTCGACTAATTGCACAACTTGAAGGTTAAAAGTTTCCCTTGAAGCCTTCAGAAAACAACAACAAAATTAGTGAATAGCTAAAAACTTGCTCCTTGACTCATAGTGTTGTGTGGCCAGCAAAAAGTACATATTACTGCGATTAGCCAGGCACATTTCACTTGATGGACTCTATAAATAGCCATCAAACACACCTAGAACTAAACACGAGTAATTAACTATTTGCTACAAATGCTGCCCATCAATCACACTCCCCGGAGTCCTGGACAGCGCAAGCATACAATTATTCTAAATATGCTGACTGCGTTTTTCACGTTTCTATAAACTTATTTTTAGTGCCTTAAAGGCCACAAATCAACAGTTTGTTACAGCCATGTCATGCTGAAATAGGTAAGCCTGCAAGCTGGTGTTTTATTCGAATACAATAGTTACGTTTTTTATAGAAATATTAGTAGAAGAATCTATATTAATTTATGATTTATTAAATTGGAAAAAAGCTAAGATAAGTTAATGAATAAAAGCAAAAAAGTTGTATTGAAATTAGATGAGTTTAAATCTAGTAAAAAAAAGTTTTTACACTTCAAAGTTACTGTTAAAGTTAAAGTTGAATTTGACTTGACAGAGCGATTCTGTCAGATTTGTTTGCAATGCATCAAAAATCTACATCAAAGTCTAATCTAGATTTTTGTTATTAAAGTTAACAAATGTTGTTGATCCAAATGGTTTTTTTTCTGAAAAAAAAAAAACCGAAAATATTAAAGATATTAAAAACAGTAAGAAAAAGAGTGAAAAGTTGATAAAATGAACACAATGAAAATCGTAATAAAAGACGAACTCAAGATAACACTTGAGAAAACTTAGACTGTCCATAGTGCCTTAAGAGTAGAAAAAAACCCGAACTTGAATAGTCAATTCAGTTCCGCCTTTGCATAAGCGCACCACAATATTTGTAGTAACAATATTTAGTAGAACAGATTTTATATGTATTTTTTTAAGCAAACACACACTGCTCGTTGTGCTGCGTCTTTTTGCTGAGTTTGTTCACGTAGCAAATGTAAATGAAATTTGTTTACCGCTCAGCAATTTGTCAATATGTGATGGTTGGGCTGGGTTGGTAGATCTGCCCGAGTACATAGAAATGCAAATGAAAAATAGTGGAGCTCATTTGGAGCACGCGCTCTCACTGATATATGTACATGCCTATGCAGGTGTGAGTGTCCTGCTGCCCACTAATGAGCCTCGATATGAATATAAGCCACATATATATGCATACTACAAGCACATAATGGAGGGGTTGCCCCCATGATTTAACCAAGCGCGCTGTCGCCTATCGCTGGGCGTAATCTGGGCTAAGTTTTGTCGCGGACTCTCCTGACCGAAATCAAATCAAATGCGGTCTTTCAAAATATTAAAACATTAACAATGAGCGTGCGACAACGTCAAATAACAAAAGCAAAGCCATGGGCACCTACTAACACACACACACATGAATACATTTCTGTGTAGCTATTCAACTGGACACCAACGGACTCTACTCCATTTGGCCTGCTGTTGTCGTGTCTGTGAGCAATTTACACAATTTCAATAAGCGACAATAGCACAAAACAAGTGGGAGAATTCTTGCTGCACATGCCTGACTACAATATACCCTGCAGCTTAAGTGGGACCTGAGCTTATACTAAAATACCTTTATATGCCGACTCCACGACCTCGTTTGCTGGTTTCGACCATTATCAATTTGTATATTGCTTAATCAGTTAAGACTCTTGATGATATGAAACATGTTCATCTATACATATATGTTCTATAGAACTAAAGACGACTTTCTGATAGTCAAATTTGCAGAGTATACAACTAGAAGCAGTGGAAAGAAGTCTATAAAAATAAAAGCTGATTTTGATTGGGGCATTGGAATCGTTGGCTTGTGGCGGTCGCCGAGGCGAATCGATTTGAATATCAAATTTGTGAAAGTCTAGGTCTAAGGCGATCTATTGGGAATTTCGATTGACTTAATGTGGGAAGACCTGGTGTGCCTGGTGTGGTGGGCGTGGCCGAGGACTACTCGATTTGTTTTATTGACACTGAAGGCCGGTAATTTGTATACATGCCGCACACAGACCAATTGCAGCGTGTTTGTTTATTTGTAATCCTGTTTCATATATTAACGATTAGTGGGCTGAAATTAATTTAATATTTAATGCACTTTGTCGCCCAAATGTTGACCCCACTGGCGCACACTTTATAATTAATTCACTTTCAAGAAAAGTTGATTTAGTGTCAAGAAAAATAAAAAAATAAAAAAAAAAAAAATAAAAAAATAAAATAAAACAGCTGCGGTGGGGTGGCTCTGGTGGGCACCAGGTGATAGTTATTCTAGATAACTATTTAATTTGACGAGGTCAGCTCATTGAAGCATATAATTAACGCAAAATACACTTTATTACTAGATGTGACTATTCAGATTAATAAGGAGAGTAATAAGCCAAGTAAGCGTGATATTGTAATTAACTAATAATTTGAAAAAAAAAAACTTGAATTGGACTTTACAAAATATTTTATAATAATAATAATAAGGGTTTCTATTCACACTGAAGCATAGTATGCAATAAAAGAAGAATATTTCAGCAGAATATGAAATCACATTAATCAAAAAGTTTAACTTTCAATCTTTTGAAGATTATAAACAAAATTTTATGAATGAAAATTTTTTTTTTAAATTTTACTGAAAAATATTTAAAAACATTATCAAGGATTTCATTTAAAGTTTCATATAAGATTATTACCAAAGCATAATTTCTTCGTCTTCTTTGTAAATCCTATCCTTAGTTAGATGAAAAAACTAGAACCAGTTCATCGACCGCTTTTTAGATGAGAGAAAGTTAGTTACATCAGCTCACTAATTAGCTAAAAATCTATATATATATTGATATAAAATATTTGCCGCAATTTTCCTGCTTTTTCGAAAATCTTAATATGAAAATATTAAGTCAGACTCTCTTAATCTTACTACGACAAGAGCTTAACTTATTCAATTTCTATAAAAACCTATGCACCAAATCTAAGTCTAAATTTGAAATTAATGAAGGTTAAAGTAAATGGTAAAATATAGCCTAATAAACTGCGGACGAATTGCTTTTGACGCAGGTCTTTTTGGCTTCCTAGTTGATTAGCTTGGTCATCCGGAAAGTTTTTGGCTTTTCGAGCAGCCATCGAACTCTTCAGGAGTTACTGCCCGTTGATTTACATTCGGAGACACGCAAGTGCAAGGAAGGTGTTCAAGTTCACGGCTTAATTTATGGCTCACGCCAGCCCGTAAACAAAGCCCGCGGGACTTTAACCTGCCTGGCTTGCCGAACAACATCGATTAAGCCAAGTCATGTTCATGCCAGGATGACCTTGGCGCCGAAGTTTACAATCCATTACGGCTAGTGGAAGGCGTCGGCGGCAGCCTGGGACAGTGGGAAACACCCAGTTAATGACAGTTTTACGATTGTTGACAACAAATTGACACCATTTGTAAGCATTTGTTGTTGTCGCCTTGCTTCAGGTTATCAGCATTTCGAAGGCACGTGGCACACCTGTGAAGGACACTCGACTGATCAAGATGGCGGCTAGCGCTGGTGCCAGCAGCTGGTCGGGCAGCAGCGGCGGCAGCACATCCTCCCAAGGACGCCAGCTGGCGACCGCTCAGCCCGTCCAAGAGGAGCGCTTAGTGGTAAGTGACCGTAGCTCCCAGCACCTAAGACAAATGAACTCACCCCGCATCGACGTTGTTCAGGTGGGTGTGCGTGTACGCCCGAGCCTGGAGGCCACCGAGCGCTGCATTGAGGTCATCTCTGGCGGCTCCCTGCTGTATGACGACGGTGGCAAGAGTCGGCCACGCAAATATTCATACGATCATGTCTTCAAAGAGAACGACACACAGGAGCAGGTGTACAAAACCACGACAGCACCACTGGTCAAGGATGTCCTGAATGGCTACAATGCGGCCGTCTTTGCCTATGGCGCCACAGGCTCTGGCAAAACGCATACAATGCTCGGCCCAGTGCCGCGTAAGAAGCCATCGACAGCGGATCGCGGGCCATCGGCTGTCGTTGGCTATGAGGCAGACGTTAGCAATCAGGACATTGGCTTAATGGTGCGCGCCATTGAGGATATTTTTGGCCATATCGAGGCAGCTGGCCCCGAGAGTTCCACCAAGGTATCAATATCGTATCTAGAAATTTACAACGAGCTAATACGGGATTTGCTCAACCCGGGAGGGCCGCTGGAATTGCGCGAAGATCATAGGGGTCAGCGGATTACAGTGGCCGGCCTCTCCGAAATAACAACGTCTAGCCGCAAGGAAGTCGTCAGCCTGCTTATTAAAGGCAACAAGTCCAGAACAATGGAGCCAACTGCGGCCAACCAAACCTCTTCACGTAGCCATGCCCTCCTTAGTATTACTGTGCAGACGCGAACGCCGCTGGGCACCAAACAGGGCAGGCTCTTCCTTACCGATCTCGCTGGCTCGGAGCGAGCGAAGAAGACTAAGAATCGGGGCAAGCGGCTGCAGGAGGGCGCCCACATCAATCGTAGTCTGCTAGCCTTGGGCAACTGCATCAATGCGCTGTCTGGCGGCGCTCGATATGTAAACTACCGCGACTCGAAGCTCACACGGCTGCTCAAAGAGGCGCTCAGTGGCCGCTGCAAGACGGTAATGATCGCCCACGTTGCGCCCGAGAGCAAACATCGCGATGAGACCAAGAACACCCTGGTCTATGCGGACCGCGCGAATAGCATCACCACCAAGCTGCAGAGCTCCGTCTACATCGACGAGTTCAAGAACTTTCCCACCAAGCACTACCAGAGCCTGGTCTCAGAGCTGCGAGACGAGGTCACCCGCCTGCGCACCAAGATGCTGACGGATCGTCCGCGCAGCGGGGCTGCCGCTGCGGCCGCTTCAATCGTAGCTCAGCAGCCGCCCAGCGAAGAGCAGAACGAGCAGCGTAAAACGGAGCTGCGTTATCTGCGTGAACAGATTGTGCTGACCTTCAAGCAGCAGATGAAGCTGCGTCGCAAGCTGCTTGAGGCAGAGAGTCATCTGCTGGGCCTCGAGCTGGACGCCGAGCGACAGCACATGATCATATCCCATTGGCAGGGGCGCATTGGCAAGCTGTACGATGCGCCAGGTGAAGATGGTGAGCATTGATTACTATATGATCTCTTACTGAAACTCTGGTAGTATCAGTTTTAGCTAAAGTTTCAATTAACTTCACATCTTCATTCTCCTGAACAGACATGGAATCGGAAGGATCGGTGGCTTTGAAAAATGCGTGGGGTGAACTGGCGGCCATAGAGAAGGAGACGCGGCGATATAAGGAAATCCGCGAGCACACAGAGCACGAGCTGGAGCAGTGTCGCCAGAAGGGCGTCAAACTAGAGGATGTGAGTGCCCGAGCTTAAACTATAAAGATTTCGTTCATAAATACTTGTTTCCCAGGAGCTTCCGGAGCGCATTACTAGCGACGAGGAGCGCGAACTGCTCGCTCTCCTCTGCCGCGTGCATGAACTTGAGGCGGACAAGGTCTCACTGCAAGCGGAGCGTTTGGCACGTCAGGCGGAGCTGCGACGTCGTGATCTGCAGTTGCTGCGTGCCGAGCGGCAACGACGACTCTGCGAGGACATCATTAGCTCCCAGCGTCGACTCATCGAGGAGGGCAACGTGGAGCTGCCGGACGAGCTGCGCGAACTCTACGGTCTCTATCAGCAGGAGATACACGCAGGAGTTGTTACGCCCAGCACGAGCAGCTACGACAAGAAGCTGCCGCCCATATACACAGCTGGGTAGGTTAGCTGACCTCTCAATTTACGCGCAACTTCCCAAGCCATTACCAACATCGCCCTTTGTTGCAGCTCCGATTCACCGGGCTCCAGTTCCAGCTCCGAGTGGTCACCCGCCTCGCCTTTGCCGGCCATAGAAGGTCATGCCGAGCACGTGATCGTGTCGGAAGGTCCAGATCGGCTAATGGGTCCACCGGTCAATTCGCGTCTGCCCCGTCTGAGCACTGCCGTGCCCCTGTCTGGTATGCGGCGACCCTCGCTGCGTCTGGGCAAACAGACGCATCCTTAGAGGCAGCTGCACCGGCTCTGTCCGAACTGCTCAGGTCTAGTTGTAAAGGTTTAGGTATTGAATAAACGTGCATTACTATTTAGAGAAATTAATAATATGCTTAAAGTATGAATTAATTATTATAATTAATCTTAATTATGTTTACTTAAGTTCGCAGTAAATTCCTTAAATAAATGCCTTAACTCATAGAACTGCATTTACTGATTGCTTAACTTATTATATTAAAAAAAGAAGAATAACAGACAAAAAGTTAATATGTGAATATATTTTTGAAAATAATAATATATCAAAAATTATGATTAACATTGTTATTTTTTCAGTGTAAGCATTTGTAAATAGGTTGCCATATCACGAAAATTTGATATTTAAGTTTTCCGTTACATAGACACAGACCTTTTTTAAGCAAGCTGGCAGCACAAGCGTAAAGCGTGAAGTTGGCTGCGCACATGGCACCTTAACTTTGAGTTTAAATATTAAGCAATATATAGAAATAAACTTATGTATAACGTAATGTTTTTTATAAAATAATATTAACTTTACTTATTTTTTTAAATAAATAAGAAAAATCATAAAATTTCCAGTAAAAAGAAATCATTTGATTAATGTTAAGCGAATCTTTTAGAAATTTTAAATTTAAAAAATTAAGTATATATTATATGTATTTCTATGACAACTCAATATCCGCTAAGCTGATAACACACAATATAAAACTTATATTTGTTGTATTTGTAATTCCACGCACCAGCCCTTCCACACACTTGAGAGACACAATAGAATTTTCGTTCCTACGCAACCACTAAGGTCACTGCCGGCCCAAAATTGTAGTTTCTTGTTTTTCGGAACTGGGTCAGAAGCAACAAACATAAACAAAAACTGAGCATAAGTTAGAGCGGGAACGAGAGATAGAGAAGGGGGAGGCACAGGCCGAGTGCAAGCGAGACGGGGCGCATTGCAGAGAGCGCACAGCGAGAGCGAGTTGAGCATGCGAGCATGCGTTGCTACGGTAAATTATCTTTCAGCATGCACAAAAAGTATCTGGCAGTTTGATTTTCATTATTAGATACACAGCTGTATGGACAGTGCGTGGAACAAGCGCTCCCCTTGATATTCGGGTTTTGTCATTTAAGCAGTGAGCAGGTTGCTGGCGCATCTAACAATTGGGGCTTCAAATAAAATAAATAAATAAATTGAAAGACAAACTAAAAGGAAATATTCTATAATTCGAACTGGAAGCCCCGAGTCGAGTGGCTAACATACGACAGGCTAATTGGAAGGCGCATAACTAAATGCGCAGTTTGAAGCAGATAATAATTACTTCTCGATTGCCCAATACGAAAAGTTAAATTGCCTGGATGGGTAACAACCTGACTACAAGTGGATTGCTGAGGATTAACCGGGGCAGAATTGTGTTCTTCGAAAGGCCCGCCGAGTGCCAGGTGAGTGAAAATGGTAAAATTTAAAAATCGTAGGCGTCGTCAACCCTCTGAGAAAGCATCCCAATTGCCAATGCGTGGGCGTTGTGTGGGCTTAGCTGCACTCGACGCATACATGCAGTCATGTATCTATACATGCACTGTGTACATAAATGTTTGCCTGGTAAACAAGCCAGGCTCTGCCCGGGCTGACGGCGCATTGCAACATCGCAACAGCTAGGGGCTGCAGCCCGGACAACCAGCTCAGCTGCACCAAGGCCACTGGGAGTTTTAACCCTTGGTATTAACAGTTAAGAAACACCCTCTTCAATGAAAACTTCTGTATGCTGTCAAGTTGCTATAAGCACCTTTAGTAGCTATGTATATATATATATATATATATACATTTTTTTTGTGTCTTCTGATTATGGCAATGAAAATGTCAACGGAAATAAAAGAAAATTTTTGAAGAATGCTGATGCAATAAAAATAATAAAGTCTAGTGACATAAAGACTTTCTAATAATAATTTATAAAATTGATATTTATGCTTAACCTTAAGTTAAGACTTATACACTTATTTGACTTACTTTACACGCTTAAATTAACTATTATTCTACTACAGATATCATATGTATATATTCTTAAAATATTAATTTTCGATAACATTAAGACTATATTTATTATCAATTTTGATTCGCAATGATATGCAGTCGAAAGCCTGATTTATTATGTCTGATATTAACTGAAAACAATTCTTATAGGAGAACAAAGCGGAGCCAGATATGGAGTCGGCTGCTGGGACCAGCAGCTCGGTAACGTTCGAAGATGGGAGACGTCGGCCGTTGCACATAGAGCAGCTGCCCAATGACATGTGGATCGAGATTATGGCATATTTGTCATACAAAGATCTGCAGCAGCTGCGATTGGTCTCTTGGCGCTGTCGCGAGTTGGTCAATCGGCGCTATTTTGCGTCTAAGGGCAGGGTGATTGTTACCAAAGAGAATCTGAATGCAATGAAGGCTCACGTAGAGCGTGGAGTTTCATATTTGAGTTTCGAGGACGTCGAGCTGCGCAATCTGACGCAGAGTACCGAATTGTCGCAGTTTCTGAAGATGGTGGGACCGGAGGTGAAGCAAATGCAGGTGCGACACGCGCCTGTCTTTCGCAACATGGATGGCAAGCTGCCGAATTTGAAGATGTTGAAAATAGTTACGACTAGCTTCTTGGATGACGTGAACATGACCGTTGACGGCATCAATATGAAGCAGTTCATGCATCTGACGGGCTTTGAGTGCGACGGCGTCAGCTTGGACTCAAGTCTGAAGCTGTTGATGCTCTTGCAACTGCGCCGCGTTGAGAACAAGGTGCAGCTGCGTCACCTGCAGTTCGAGTATCGTCGAAACAATGAGACTGCATTGCTGCAGGTGCTGTACGATCATGCGCCTACCTTGGAGTGCGTCGACATCTTCTTTAGCTGCTCGCCGGGCATCGAAACTCTTCGCTGGTGTGTGGCCTTCGAGCGGATGAAGAATCTGCGCACTCTTAAGCTCTCTGGCAATTGTCATCTTGTGCTGCTCGACGATATTCTGGACTCGGTTCCCGAGTCGAGCAGGCTGCAACAGCTCGATCTAACTGGCATGCTATCGCTAACCAATGAAATGCTGATCTGCATAGCTGAGAAGTGGCACAAAACTCTGCGCTCTCTCGATCTCATGTTCTGCGTGCAGTTGGACGTGCGCTGTGTGGCGGCGCTGCGTAAGATGAACGGTTGCCTAGAGTCGTTGACCATGGCCTACTGCCGTGCGTTGACCGGCAGGGGGCTGGTTGAGGGTTTGACCTCGCAGATCAACTATACGCTGCAGGAGCTCTTCTTGGAGGATGTGTGCTTCATCGACGAGGCGTCCATGTGCATAATGATGGAGCGTCTGCCCAACTTGCGCAAGCTCAGTCTAGACAACTGCCGCCAGGCAACCACCGACCGGACTCTCTCCACCATCTTCCGCCACCAGACACTGTTGCGTTTGCTGAGGATCGACTACTGCATTAAGGTAACGGATATGGGCTTCATAGGCTTTGGCAACCAGCCTGCGTCCATCAGTCGTTTGCGAGGCTTGCGTGAGCTGAATGTTCGAGGCTGTCGCAACCTGACAAATCGTATGCTTAAGCGAGCTCTTCGTCTGCCGGAGCTGCTTGACTTGACATTGGACTATTGCAATCGCTTGGAGGCCAATGGCATAGCGGCGCTCAGTGTCAACTGTCCGTCTTTGGAAAAGCTGTCCGTGGCCAGCTGTTCATTGATAAATGACGAGGCGGTGGGCTATGTCGTTGTCAATTTGAAGCGTTTGCGTAGTCTCACCATAAGCAACTGCTCGATGCTCACACTGCAAGCTTTCAAATATATTGCTAAAAATGGTCGGAATCTTAGGAATTTGGTTGCTTGCAGCATTGATGGACTTGATCAAGATGCTGCACAAAAGATTTTGTCGCGACATCTGCCCGAGCTGAAGCACGCTATGCTATAGCAGGAGAGGCTCGTTCACTGACTAGACGAGAACAATCCCCACGCTGGTTGGGGAACCGATGACGAAGACGAACCGGAAATAATCGAAATTGTTATCTAAACTGGATCAGTGCAATATGATCGAATCAACTCTTATTCGTCGTCTAATCTTACTCTATTGAAATACTTACTATATCTTATATATGTTATTCCAATCTAAGTTAAACTGATCGCAGAACAAATTGTTCTTCGAACGTTGCCCTCTGTTACTCTTCTTGTGTTTTCTGTTTGAAACACATTAAGTCCTTTATGAAAGTTTTAAATGTGCTTCACAATGTCGTAAACTTTAGGTGAAATCAAATACGTATATACAAAAACATAGAGATGATGTTGTAATTCACTCAACAAGTCGTTGAGCCAGTAATATATAATATACAATAACAGTAACTACTATGGTTCTCAAGTCAACAATAGTTCAAGCCAAAAAGTCAAGCTACTAACTTACCTCTAAATAAACGAAACCAAACATTTCATAGAGTCGAAATTGAAATTCTTTGCGGAATACCATATTTAGTGAAAATATCTAAAATTTCTGTTATGTGATACAATCACAACAAAAAAATAATAATAATCCCAAGCGAAATCGGGGAAAACTAGCTAAATCTAGACTTACCAACTTATCGAGCTTGACAACAAAACACTCTTATTGTGAGTTATACAGTTTTATCGGATTTACATATACATGTCTAATATATACTATAAGTGTCATAAGTATTCAAGTAACGATCATAACGATATATCGATGTATTTATTCTGTATTTACAATAATGCCGCCCATTGCGAACCTGCACCATAAACTAATATACATATACGTATATATGCATATATATATCTATATATATATCTATATATATTTATCAGAATTTATATTATACAATGCCAATGCCAAACAGAGGCTGGCCTATACAATTTACTTTGAACTTAAACTTAAGCTTGTGTAAAATTTGAACGATTTGAATAATCAGCGAGTTCTAGAAAATCGAATTGAAAGAAACGCTAGCCTAGTACTAAGCATTTTGTAGCTTTTAACTATTATTGAAGAATTTTCTCGTTTCGATGGAATTCTTTACAAAATTTCACTATAAATATGCTGGACAAGTATATCACACGAGCACCTGTTGCATAAAAGTACATCAATGGAGCTCTTTGTTAAGATCCAACTAAGCTAAAGATGTCCTACCGAAAGCAGCTCTCTGGTTATTAGGATCACTTGAATTTTACACAAGTTTCACAAACACATATATATATATATATAAATATAGGAACGGAGGCTAAAGGAAGGCTTAAGGTTTTAAATAGATAAAGGAAAACTAATACTCTTTAATATTCCATTTAAAGTAAATTGTGGTTTATACAATGAAATTGAAAAAAATCATGAATAGGTTGTTTACAGACAGCTAAAAGATCTGTGGTTTGAAAAGAAAAGAATGAAATTGGTTTAAGAAAGTGTTTCTAAGGTATTTTTTTTTAATCATATTTATGTCTATGATATATACGAAGAACATATTACAAACTAGAATAGTATTTACAAGCATAATATATATATATATATATATATATATATATATATATACTACAAGCATAACAATATAATTATTGCCAAGCGCAACTCCATAGATATTTCATATGTGTTGTTAAGTACATATTGTATGATTGGTTCCTGCCAAGTCGTTAATACTAACCGCATATAAAGTTCTGTGTATTGCATTGGTAAATGTCTATTGAATAGGAAACGAAGAACGAGGCGCCGGGCTCGGCGCCCGGTCAAGGCTGGTTGAATAAGTGTCCAGTGGTTTAAAGATATATTTATTGACTTAGTTTTATCAAGTCTCCGGCGATCGAAATAGAGAATATATAAGTGTATTCACATTTCTCTTTAATTATACTCTGTTGCTTTAAGTCTTACTAAACGATTTATAACATAAACTAATAAAATTGATGTTGCCTCTAACTATTCATCGCTCTCTATTCAATGGCTTGTTCTCAACTAGAGAGTTATATGCGGAAACACGAGACTCAGGTAAATGGCATGGATTGGACTCTAGACCTCGACTTAGAACAAAGACTGTGCTGTAACATTGGTTGTTATTCAGACATCACTAATAAGAGTATAAATTCAATTTATGCAAGCAATTTTAATACAATAAATCAAATACACTGGTCAACAAAATCGGGTAGCCAAGAAGCAGTTTATATTTTGCACACGATTGTTGGCGTATCTGAAACTAGAAACTTACTTTACCCACTTGAAGGTGCAGCTCCTTCGAAGCGCAGTTCTCTTTTGGATGTAATTGAAATTGATTGCAATTGATTATTAGTTATTTTTGTTAGTTAGTTAGCTCTCGCTCTCAAATCCGTAAAGTACTTTATCTATGTGCAAATAGTTAGTTAAGTAGATGTCTATCGGACAGAAAAGTCAGGTTGAAGTTAGAGCTTTTAAAGCGCGCTGGCAAGCCATTGCTAAAGCTTGCACACACACACACGCACACAGATGTACCTCGTGGCGGCCATTATCTGCCTGTATGTCAGCGAGTGTGTATGTGCCTTGTGTCTGTGTGCATATAAACGTCTGTATAAGTGTGCAACTATTTCGAAAGCAACGCACGCACTTTGACACCACTGAGTGGGGCGGAAGTCGGGTGTTCAGTTAGTTAAGGTGGCGCTAAACGAAATAATATAAATGAATGAGATATATATATGACGGGGCCAAAGAAAATGTCACTCGTCGGCTATGCGGAGCGTAGCACAGATCTGGCACTGACAAAACGCATAGAATGAAACTTTTTGCTAGCCGTCATCGTGGGGTTTCTTGTTTTTGTTGGCATTGGCGTGGTGTGGTGTGGGTGGGCAGCTGGCGTTTTTTGCGACTATGAGAAATTGTGGCCAAAACACAAACAAAGCCAGGCACAGACCGAAGCACTTACAAATATGCACATGTCAACCGGCAGAGCCAATGGCAGCGGCAGCGGCAGCGGCAGAGGCAGAGGCAGAGACGGAGACGGAGACAGAAGCAGCGACAGCAGCAGCAGCAGCAGAAACAGCGAAGCGTCGTCGTTGTGGATAGAAATCTGAACGAAATTGTCGCCACTGCTTATCAGATAAGTTCAGAACGCGCTAGCGTGCGGTTCGGGTTCGGGTTCGCAACTCGGATACAGTCAACTAAATGCAGCTAGCTCAATGCATTTAACTATTGTCACATAGCTGCCAGTTGCTTGGCCAGTTGCAATCAAATGAACGCAGTGTCCGGCGTCCAGTGCTCGTAGCAATCGCTGGGCGGGCGATTGGCAACGTTTCTGGATTCGATCGCGACCTCGCTGGCTATATACTTTAGTGTCGTCTGTGTGTTGCGTGTCAGTCAAGAAACGAGTTGAGGCGATTGGCTAGCTTCAGTTCTGTGTCGCTGTTACCTTAGTCGTGACATCGAATTATAATAATTAGCATATGGGGATATATTGGCAGTTAAGCGGCTCTCGGCATTCCAGCAAGTGGAAATTTTGAATGAATATAAACAAAAAAGCGCACAGTTGAAGGAAAATTTCGAGCACAAACATGTCGCTGGCAACAGAATCACCTGCCATCAATCAGAACACGTCAGCAATTAGCCAACTATTTGGTGCCCAGCGCGATCCCCTGGCCATTGTGGTACCCGTCACGGTGGTCTACTGCCTCATCTTTCTCACCGGCGTCGTCGGCAACATCAGCACCTGTATTGTGATCAAGAAGAACCGCTCCATGCACACGGCCACCAATTACTATCTGTTCTCGCTGGCCATATCGGATTTCATGCTGCTGCTCTCGGGCGTTCCTCAGGAAATGTATTTTATTTGGTCCAAGTATCCGTATGTATTCGGCGAATACTTCTGCATCGGCCGCGGACTGCTGGCCGAAACATCCGCCAATGCTACCGTATTGACCATAACAGCCTTTACCGTGGAACGCTATATGGCCATTTGTCATCCCTTCCTTGGCCAGGCCATGAGCAAGCTGAGCCGCGCCATTCGCATCATTTTCCTCGTCTGGCTGCTCGCCGTGCTCACGGCCATACCGCAGGCGGCACAGTTCGGCATCAATAGTTACGGCGGCATCGACAAGTGCGTTGTGGTGCGCGTGATCGTGCAGCACTCGTTTCAGCTATCGACGATCATCTTCTTTTTTGCACCCATGTCCATCATATTGGTGCTATATTTGTGCATTGGCTTGCATCTGTATCGATCGAGTGTCATTGGCGGCGGATCGACAGCTGCCTTTGGGGCGCCGAGCGGCGTGCGGGGCCAGAAGCAGCAAATGAAGACGGTGCAAAGTGATACGATTCTCTATCGCTATGCCGGTTCCAGCTCGGCTTTGGCAAACAGCGCTGGGCAGCAGCTAAGCTCGGTGCGAGGGCGCCTCAATCATTATGGCACGCGTCGCGTGCTGCGGATGCTGGGTGAGTGTCGTTCAGCATTGATGACATCCAATTATGGAAAAAAGGCCGCAGGCTGTGCGCCAAATGTCTAATTTCTGGCTATATCCAGCAGTGGGACAAAAGGCGAGCACGCCTAATCAGCCATTCACTGGCCAATTTATAGCGTCTGTCATTTGGCATGCTCGACATTTATGAGTCGCGCGCGTTTATTGTGCCCCGAAAAAAAGAGTGTATAGACGATATAAGCTAGTGACTGTCGTTATGGCGTTTATGAATATAAATACACATACAATTGCTTGGTTTATCTATTCGTTTCACAGTTGCCGTTGTCATCTGTTTCTTTCTGTGCTGGGCGCCATTTCATGCGCAGCGTCTGATTGCCATTTATGCCCCAGCTCGGGGCGCCCAGCTGCACGATCAGCACGAGCTGCTCTACACGGTGATGACATATATTTCGGGTGTGCTCTACTATTTGTCCACCTGCATCAATCCGCTGCTTTACAATCTGATGAGCAACAAGTTTCGCGAAGCCTTCAAAGTAAGTGAACAAATTTATTTACTCTGTTTATATTTTTATTGTTTGATTGATCTGCTGCAGGCTGTGCTGCTGGGCAAGAAGTACTCCAAGGGCTCGTTGAACTCTCGCCATCAGCTGGAGTCGCGCCGCTTGCGACGCACCACAACCCTCAACTCGTCGTCGCAAACGCAACGAGATTCCAGCGAGTCGAAGCACACGCTAATGCAGGTCTGTACCACAGATCGTATGAGTAATAATACTTAAAATTACGCAATCAATTGTTTATATGATTTCCTCTCTCCACATCCCCCCCCCCCCCCCCCCCCGCTCTCTCTCTCTCTCTCTCTCTCTTTCTCTCCCTCACACTCGCTGTCTCGCTTGCGCTTTTAGATAGCTCTAAGTGAACGCCCGCTGCAGGCAAGGTCGCAACTAGTTTCGTAATTTGCAATGCACAATGCACTGCTAATTATAGTGAATTCATTTATCGATATTTATTTATCGTTTTTCTGTTTACTTCTAGTGTTAACTTATTATAATTTATAATTTTGTTAAATAAGTCACTTTGTTTGCAACGGCTACCAAAGCGTCTAGTACAAGTTTTAGTTCGTTTCCTACTTTAGTTAATTTGTTAATAGATGTTAAAAAATGTATTAAAATAATAATAATTGAGATCCGCATTTAATATTATTTGAAGTTTCAACTATTTTTTTTATAATTTAAACATTTACAGTTAAGTTAAAGACTAACTAGTCGTTATTATTATTATGTCTATAAAAAATATATATTATTTGTAGAAAAAATCTAAAATATATAAATTGAAAAGTAAATTAATAATTAATAGAAGAGACTCTTATAAAAGTAGTTCATTTCTCAAGAGAATTATGTTAGATGTACAGTTGTGTTCAGGAAAATAGTAGTGCTGCACTTCCTAAAACCTAAACAACTATGTATTAGACCAAAGCAAATGTTTAAAGCGTGTGAAGCCAGATAAACTTTTGTTAAATAAACTTTTTTAGTTTTCTTGTAGCCACTACTATTTTTATGAACAACTAAATTTTGAGAAATTTTTCCGTAAAGCCTGAAGTGTACATGTACCTAAGTTTGGAACCAAAAAATATCTAAATAAATATAATATATGTTAATCTTACTATTAATTTCAAAAGGTTTTCAAAATATTGTGCTCAATCGCACTGCTATTTTTGTGAACACAGCTGTTTTTGTACAAGAATACACTGTATTATATATATTATTACCCTATATTATATTACACATTATTATAAAGTTATATACCATATTATATATTAAATATACTACAAAGCACTATGCTAAACAGTTTCAAGAACGCATCAATGTAAACTTGAATTGCATAAATAATTAATTCAAAATTAATAGAAAATAAACAACTCACAATGTCTAATTAGTAACAACAATATATATGTATATATATATATATATATATATATATATATATATATATATATATATATATATATATATATATATATATATATTTGTATAATTGAATTATTCAGCTCAAAAATATATTCTATAACTATTTATTAAATATGAATGGGAAATAATTGAAATGTCGCAAAAAAAATAAATTTCAAATCAAATTTAAACTAAAATTATTTTCTAATTCAAGTTTTGCCGTAATTTAAGAAAACTTTTGCTAAACTTCAGTGGAGAAGTGTAAATAGCACAAGCTGTCATTGGGCTGACGGATGAGCTGTGGGCAAAAAGTTGATTTATTTTTAAAATATCAAACGTTTCTTTTACCGGAAGGTAAACAATGCGCAAGCTGGAAGAAAGATTAATTGATGATGCTGATAAAGCTGTAAGAAGTTCGGGGATTGAATTGTATTTCTATTTAGTGTCAATGGAAAAAACCATAATAAAAACCAAATACGTAGCAAACTTAATTATTTTTTTTCTTTCGGCAATTTCTAGGGTTTCGTTGATTTGTCTACGTTTGTTGGGCTAGCGATGGAGACGTGAAAACAAATATATGTATTTTGGATTGGAATCATCGCAGTGCGCGTAAACAAAATTTGTTTTTTTATATCGGCGAATGGGAATGGAAATGCGTTTGCTGTATGCATAAATAAGTAATATGTTAATCATGTCCCTTACACATGCCCTGCGATTATAATCGCACCAGGGTCACGGACTGCAATTGCAGGCGACTGTCAACGCGGCGAATGCGTAATATGGCTCAGGTGCTCAGTGCTGCATTTCTTATGAAAATGCAATCAGGCAAATGGACTAGTCAAATACCATTGTAATTGTATGATTGTCTCCAATGCAGCCAGCGACTACCAGTGCAACAATACTTTCCATTCGCATACGTATTCCCAGTCAGTTGGCCATGAACACTTTCCAAGTGCGTCATGTTTGCATGATGCAAGGCGAAATTATCCCATGCGTATATACATAAATCTAAATTCAGTAATAAATTGTATTGGCCAGTACGAGGCCTTCCGAATACTCTTGAATTATTCCATTCGCCGCATCTATAGCTTCCATATCTTTAACTACTGCAGTCAATACAGCTATCCTTCATAATTAAGCTAATTGAGCTAAGCTTCACAATTTTTTTATTATAAATACAAAATCACGTTTCTAATTATAATATATATATTATAATAAACACTAAATACTTTTGAGAGTATTAAATAAATATATTTTTGTGCATTGTTTATTCTATTAGTAAAAATAATAATAAAAATAGTAATAATAATAAAATAATAATAATAAACATAATTATATGATTCATGATAACACACATCTAGATCAATTCTTTTTGTTTTCTTTGAATATGTGGTAAGTTATAAAAAAGAATATTTAGCTAGATTCACTTAGAATATAATAACTATGACTACTTACAGAGGTTTAATATACTCTCTGTTACATAATTGCAATTAGTACAGAGTATATGGCTGAAGTTTACTTGCATTGAGTGCAACATTTGAAAGTAAAAACAAATATAAACAAATAAATATCTTCATTTCTAGTTTAACTTGATTTCTGTAACATTTTTTCGGACTACTTAAAATATAGTTACGATATAATCTCATCTGCATCAAATTGAATTGTCAGTTTGTTTCCTTTTTATTTATATTATTTTAATTTACCAAGTTAAAGAAACACAAATACTATATATAATTATTCGTGTAGTAGCCTGAACGAACACATAAAAATGTTGTTTTTTTCATATCTTAAATAAATATAATTTGCGTTATCATCGCATATCTAAGCAACATTCAGATAATAAATGATTATTTCATTCATTAAATAATTATATTTCCAATAATATTATTTAAATACGAGCTTATCTAAATTCTTGTATAAGCTAGGTTAATCAAATATATATTATCCGACAACTCTGAGCATAAGAAGTCCAGAATAAGCTGTTATTTTAAGCGTCACAAATTCCAGGCAATAGTTAAAAGACTCATTAGATACTTTAATATATCTTTCACGCACGTCACGTTAAGCTAACAAATACCATCGAGCCAATAGAAAAAAACGAGCAGCAAGAGCAAATGATCCACACGCCTACACATGCAAGCACATCAGCTGCCACACATAGATAGACACACACACTGCTACACATGGCCGCCCGCAAAATGACGTAGAAAGTGTGAAATAATTTGATTTACGAGCGATTCGGGAAACAAAAAAGCGAAATTCTAGCAAAAAAAACAGAATTGTTAGCAATAACAGTTGGAAGTACAAAAAGCACCGACTCCATCCCAATCATTTAGACGGGAAGTCAATGAAGACATACACACACACACACATACGTCGGCAGAAGCATTTGCGCGCGCATACACATAAACACAGTGCTTAGTGCGCAGTAGCGCCAACAGGTGGCGCTGACGCGTGGGAATTTTGTGAAAACAACGCGCAAATACTATGTTAAAAACCGTTAGATACGCACTCACATGCACACACACACACATATATATATATATACAATTACACACTCACACATGCATAAGCATAAAGTTCACACATAATTCAATTGCAAGTTACTAAAGTCTTTTTAGACACAAATACACTGAGCATTTTTTAGAGTGGACCAAAATCAAAATTTTGAAATTAAGCAAGCCATGAAATTCAAGTGCTGCTTACATCCTATATTTCCCATTTGGTTCAGTCTGTTTCTAGCATCCGAACCAAACGGCTGTAAAATACCAAAAAAATAATAACTAAAAAAGCGTAGGTAAAAGTCGAGGAAAACCCTTTTTTAAATAGTTATAATTATTTGCTTCTGACCCAGCAGAAGGATGGCAAACGTTATCAAGAAAGTCGTGCCCATGCTGGATCGCATTTTAATACTGCGTGCTGAGGTCAAGACTACAACAGCCGGCGGTATTTTACTTCCAGAGGACTCTGTGCCCAAGGAGATGCAGGGCGTTGTCGTTGCTGTGGGCCCCGGTGCTCGCAATCCCGTTGGTGCTGGACACTTGCCTGTGGCCGTCAAGGAGGGTGATCGTGTGCTCTTGCCCAAATATGGAGGGACCAAGGTGGACATGGATGACAAGCGCGAATATGTGCTATTCCGCGAGAGCGACATCCTGGCCAAGTTGGAATAAGTCGGTGCCAAGTTAGTTCATTGCCGGCCAGTTCTTAACAAGCGTCACACGTTGCAGACTGATCAGAGCCTAAGACTCTGAAATCAAACACTGTTCCGTTACAAATCAAAACTCCCTTGCGTTCGAAACTAAATGATTGATGAAATGTTGTATTTGGTAGCTAGACACTAAAGGTAACATCAAAAAATTAATTTAAGAGCACACGTCACCCGCGGACTTACCCAGTTATGTTAGGACACGACAATAAACAATTGTTCAGATTGCGTTTTTTCTTTAAAGAGCATTAAAAAGAAAGCCTTTCTTTCGGTTGGACTCCGAGTCGTTCCTAGCCCTCCTTTCCCATGTTCTCATCTCAGCCTGTTGCTTGTCCTCTCAACGCAACGCTCATTGGCGGCGTTGCGTTGGCGGCTTCGCCATCGTCGTTCTTCGTCTGACCCATCTGCTTCGTGTTTGCTCGCTCGCATTGGCTGTCGTTATCTTTGCCGTTACAGCTCTCTATTATATGTTGTGTGCACAGGTCGAGCTATAAAAGGCGCACGTCTAACGCATTTTGGTGCCAATTCGAAAAGTGTTTCGAACACGCATTCTAGTTCCCTCTTGTACCTAGCGCAACTGTTGCACCAAGTTATATTGAAAGTGCATTAAAAGTGAAGTTAAAAGTGTGCCACAGTTGAAATCTTACAAATTTGTTTTGACAGCTTAAAGCCTGCTCACTTCTATCTGAAAAATGTGCTGCCAGAAATTTAGTTGGACTATATTTGTGTTTTTGGTTCTCTTTACGCTTGTGACAGGTAAATTGGAAAGTAAAAATATTCAGATTATAAATAAGTTATAAACGGATAAGCATGTGGTATCCTTGTTTTAAGCTTATACATTTTATGTTATATAGAAAAATATATTAGTAATATAAACTATAAACTTGATAATTTAAAAAATAAACTATCGTTTGACTATTTTCTTATTTCTAAAAATGTTTTTAAACAGCTTAAACTAAAATATTTCCAATTTAAGCAAATTTAAAAAAAATTTGGATCTACTCGAATTTTTTTACAGTAAGTCAATTTGTGATGTCTAGTATTTTCAATAAATTGGTGAATTTATGTATTATTGATCCGAAAACTTTTACATTGAGGCTTAATTTAATATTTTGTTTTTAAAACATACTTTTCTTATATCTATATATTTTTTAATTCATATAAATTTTTAAACATATTTAAGTTCGATTTTTATGATAAATAGCAGGGAATATGACAACTCAAAGATTTAAAAAACAACGGAATTCGTACAGTAAACTGAATCGTCATTTTGTGCGTTTCCCCCGAAGATGAATCAGCCTAAAAGTATGCTTTAAAAATCTTGAAATTCTGTGAAATTTTATTCTTATTGCTTGCATTGAATTTTGATGTTGCTTTAAATAAAAATACCTTAATTAAACTTTTTAAATTATTGAAATTAATTAAATAAGTTGGTCTTTTAACTTATTTAATTCATTTCAATAATTTAAATAGTTTAGTTAAGGTATTTTTATTTAAAGCAACATCAAAATTCAATGCACAAATTAGAAGTAGCCAAGTAAATACACTGCAGATAACTAAAATGTATATATTTATATCAGCAAAGTTCTTTAAGTTCTAATTATAACGGATTATATGGCCCATTAGGCCTGCCAAATTAGTGTCCGAATCAGAAGCCACAGTTATCTGTGCTACACGAATATATTTCGTTCATAGTGCTGTACTTTTAATAACAAGAGCATAAAAAACTACCGTTGACCATGCGTCATTGGAAAAGCCTTCTTAGAATTCCCCACAATAATATGTGTTGTGGGCCATAAAAACTAAAGCCAACTACCCGATTAACACATATTGCTGTTATTATTTTCTTTCCCTTTTTTTGAAATTGTAATGCGCATTATCTATTTTATGCACATTTTCCTGTTGGCCTTTGATCGAGCTGCCACGCCCCTATGTTAGAATGCCCATTTGGCATATTTACTATAATTTTTCGTTACGTCGTCAACTGCGTCGGTTGTCAGACAGCAACGCTATCCGAAAGGCCTGCAAATGCCCCAGCGATTTTAATTGCAGTCGTAAATTAATCCAAATTGCGTGCCAAATAACAACAACAACAACAACAGCAGAAACAGCAACAGCAACAGCAACACCAATAGCTTCAGCTCCAGTTTTAGGTGACGAAGCACAAAAAAAGGCGTGTGAACCACTCAAGCTGTGCCGCCGCCTGCAGCCCACTGCAGTTGTAGTTGCTTGTGGCTTAATGCGAGCTATGCTTATCCCCAGCTAGATTGCAGCTATTGTGTCGGCACTAGCCTTTGAACTGGCCCACAGATAATGGAAAACTAGCTGGGTTGGCCTAGGTTCAGGTTGACAGATTATGCCAGCGATTATGCTTTTAAAGGGGCATATATTTTTGGGCAGTTGCTGCTTCAGAGTGTGGAGTGTTGAGCCAGAGAGCAGAGACTAGAAAATAAGGCATTCAAAATGGATCTTTTTTGGACAACTCGAAGTGCAATAGACTGAAGAAGGCAGTGGTGAATTGTATTTGTTTTACAACTTCCAGAATTTCCAGAATGTTTTTCATATAAAATAATCATACAAAATATATAGAAACCCTTTTTAAATATATTTTATACTATATATATTATAGTTTTTATAGTTCCAAGAATAAGCTACGTTTAAATTGTAATGTTAAAAATTTAAATTTTATCTAAGATTAAATCCTACCTAAAGCACTTCATTCAACAGGTTGGCGGACTCTGAGTCCGCTTCAAATCTTTTTTTAACTGCCTTGTAAGCGGAATGCAGTGATTTACCTGTCAAAAATAAGAAATTTATGGCCGCATTTATTTCTAGACAATTAAAAATAGCTTTATTGCCCAATGCTCAATGGCGTAACACTTTGAAATTATACGTGCGACTTTTGTGAAGCTATTAAAATGAAAGAATAGACTTAACTCGGAATGAAGAGGGTCGAAGCCAACGTCAACTGACCACACTGCGGCAGTAAAGTGGATGGCCACGTTAATTAGACGCTTAGGAGAGCTCCTCTTTGGCCATTTAATGACAGCCCTTCGATTGGACGCCGACGCGTCATCGAAATCCCTGAGCTGGAGCTATCTCTGATGGGCCGTCAGCAAAGTGCGCAGTCGGCCACAATTAATCCATGGTTTAAGTAATTGACAAATGATTACACATCTGACATATGGCGGCTACAACAGGCGTTAGCAACAGCTAAATAGGGCGACATAGATAGAGTCATCCGGCTCATTGGGGCCACTCAACGTTCACTTTTCGTTATCAATATGCCTGGCATCGGCCAGGAATGGCTTATGCAAAGGACACTTACGAACAGGCAGCACAGCTGCGTCGCCCTGTTGCCAGGAAATGCTGCTCCTGCTTCAGTGAATTGCGTAAACTTAGCCCAGTATCGCAGCTGCTCTTCTGTTGACTTTTTGACGCCTCATTGTATGACATGTGAGCCAAGCCAAAGTCTTTTGTGTGGACGTGTGTCGACTTGGCTATCCATTTGTGCGATTAGTTTTTGGCCACACAATGAACTGCAGCATCAAGGACAGTGCATAATAGTCCTTCCCCCACGAGCTACTTCGAGAGCTGCATAATAGCTCTTCCCCCTCTCCTCCCTCCCTCGCTCTCTGACTCTCTGCTAGTTTCAGCTTTAACACGCACTTCATGCTAGCTGAGAGCTGCTTTCAACAACACATTACCCAGGTGCATGCTCATCACGCGCTATAACATACGACTTTGTAATGGACTAAATTTATCATAGGTCGCGGCATTATATAAAAAGCAAAGGCAGCCATAACAATCCCGACTGCGTCAGGACGAAGACAAAACACTCTCAGAGTGCGACATGATTAAACAAATGCTAAAGTTTATATGATTTGTCTGACTGGATATGGCTTGGCAAGCATTATGAGAGATGATAGATATGAAAATCATTTTCATAAGATTAATTCTTAAGAGAAAGCTAGCATATATATAAGCCTAGCTGATATAAGGCTAGCTTATCAACCAGGCAGTCAACGATACTCAAGCATAAATATATAGTCTTAAGATTTATCTTTTTTGGTTATTATCCTTTAAGCAATGCCACAATACTCAACGAGTTTATAAGCAAGGCTAAGGTTAAATAACAAATTAAAAAAAAGTATTTCTTTGAGGTGTACACATATATTTGTCGGCCACTGTTGCCTGCTGCATCGTGTAAGAAAGTCAGCCCAACCTGAAAAATGAAAAAATTAAAGTTAAAAGCAAACAGCAAGCACAGCAGGCACATCAACATCAACTTCTTGGCAATTCTTAACTTTTTAAGTCAGCTGCCACGCCCACATAGGCCGCTGTGATCAGTGGAACTCAGCGGGCGTTCAGGAGGTCGGCGGCATGTGTTGCTGTGGCATAATTCATGCCTAGGCGTAGCTTAACTCTTCAGTGCCTTGCAGCAATGATGATGATGATTTATTAAGTTCGTATTCTTTTCTTTTTTCTATTCCGGGCAGGCTCCTGTTTGGAATTTGGACACTCGTGCTGGGGCGGTAAGTTGTGCAGTCACTGTTGATGGGCAAATTCGCTGACTTTCCATATCTTTCTCATTGGCACAGCTCATGGCAAGCGGTCGGGCAACAGGGCAACAGTTGCAGCTAAACAGGTGAGTTCCCCGTTCTGCTAAGCCAAGCCATAAAGCACCATTATCGAGCTAATCTTATCCAGCTACAATATGTAGCCTCAGTTAGATTTATAGCCGGACGGAATTGCGCAATTTGACTGCGTACCAATTCTAATATTAATTGGGGCGGAAAACACTTCTGTATGGATGCGCGGGTCGCCAATTAAAATAATTACCAGCAACAGAAATACATTTAAATTATCAAAGCATAAATTAGAAATTATAAAATTATATAAATTACCTAACAAATCTAATTTAAATTACTTGACATTTATACACAAATGTTTTTATTAGTTTTTAAATTTATAATTGAATTTCCATTTTTAATAATATTTTAAATATTTTTGTGGGATTTTGATATATGTGCTTAGACGTTCATCATGCTAATAATGCTCTGAAATGTCATGAGATAATAGAAAGAAATATGAAGTGAGCAGGTGGACGAGTTCATGGAGTTTATTTATTCTCTTGATCGACTCTCTTCCGACTTTAACTGCTAAAGACTTGAAGTCTTAGACTTCGTCCCTTCTATAGCAGCTTCAATTTCAATTTCTTTTTCATGACATCAACTCATATCAACAGTTATTTGAGCATAGATATTATCATGCGACTTCAAGGCAGCTCCTAGACTTGGCGATCCCTGCCACCTGCGTCAATCTGATAGCATATTCTGAAGTAGCTCTGGCCAAAGCGTCCTATATCCTGACTCGAATCAAATTTTAATCTCATTTTCTTAATTTTTATTCTTTCACTTCATCCATAGCCAACACCTCAAGTCGATAACCTAGCTGAGCAGCTCTTCAACAACAACAACAATGTGAACTCTATTTATGACGATGGCAACAACAACAATAACAACATGAAGAACTACAACTTGCCTCAAGCTGCGCCTGCTTTGGCGTCGTCGGCGAGCGATTCGTCAGCAGCAGAACGCAATCGAGATGTGAATGAGGCGAAATGGAGGCAGCTGCTGCGACAGCATCGCTATCAGCTGCGTCAAATGCAACGGCAGTTCGATGCAAGCGATGCAGCCGAAAGCTGGCGCCAGCTGCAGCAAGCATTGGCCGAGGCGGAGCAGCAGCAACAACAGCAGCTGCCAATTGGCGACTTTTATGAACTTACAAAGTGAACGTTGACCGAACAATGAGAAATATATGTATACGAAACACATACAGAAACACACAGATACACACACACACACACCGACACATATATACACGCATAAACAAAATGAGCTGAAGTTAAGCAACAACAATTAAACGATATTTATTCCATCAGACAAGTGATCTTTGCATGCTGTGCCCCAATTAAAAAATTTAAAAAAATTAAACCAAAAAAAAAATTGTAATTCTGCACGCGAAATGCGCATACGCCGCGTCGGCCAGCAGGCAACAGATCAAATGCAAAAATCTATTGTATTATTAAGCGAAATTAAATGTAAATGAAAAAACGTTTTAAGCTTTTGTTTTCAATTACTTAGTCTTTCAATAACAATATTAATATTATTATTATAACCACATTATATGCATATTTCTCGTTTTTTTTCTTTTCTTCTTCACTTCTCTGTGTTTTTTGCTAGCACAATATTGCGTCATTGGCTGGATGCCGCAATATTGCCCAGATCAAATATACAAACCTTTATGAATATATATATATATATATATATATATATATATATATATATATATATATATGTATGTACATATATCAAGTATACGAATTGAGAATTGAAATTCATAATCAAATTAAATTGTACTTAACCGAAAGTAACTATAATCTATACATACAAAATGTTTTAATAGTAACAAATAAAACTTATGAGCTACAATGCAAAGCATTCTGATTGCCGTCTAGGCCTTGATTTTGGCGGGTATCTGGAAGCAGGCGGCGTCGCCCTCTTTGTCGCCCAGTCCCCAATGGATTTCCAGACTGACCGTCGGATAGACGGGCAGTATCTTAAAGCTGTTCTTGTACGTATACGTCTCGCCGGCCTTCAGCGGACAGCCGACCTTGTTCTCGCCAGCAGCATCGTAGATGTGCGGACAGGCGCTGGTGCCATAGTAGCCGGGGAACGGCAGCGGCACATCCAATATGATGCCCTGTATGTCGGAGGTGAGCTCGGCAAAGTCACGATCCGGCTTGATCTTCATCGTGATGCTGGCCTCTGAGTTGCGCTTCAATATGCACTTGTTCTTGGGGCAGTTCGATATGGTTACCTCATCGGGGCCCAGAGCACGCGCTTTGGCTAGTTAAAGAGACGAGGCAATTTAACTTCTTACAGCTGCTGTGAGCCAAGACGTTGTACTTACATTTCGGGCATGGCTTGACATCGGTGGCAGCTGCTAGGCCAAGCACTGCGGCGCCTAACAGAATCAATGCTGAATTAACCCTCATTTTGAAGCAGCGGGAAGAGACTGTTTGATAAAAGAGAAAAACTGTTTTATTTTTCAGTTACTAAAAGTTGCAAACGGTGTGCTCAGCTTGCTTATTGATGTGCAACTACTTTTAGGCCTGGCCAAAAGCTTGGCTCAGCCAAAACTAAGCAAGCCAAAGTCCAAGCTAAACCGGTTTTATGTTCGCACTACCAACGAAAGATCGACCTTGACTTGAGCTTTAACAACTGTGCAATTGAGTTAACACTGAGTGGAAGCTGCGGCGAAATGTGCAAGTATCTGTGAGATACTTCAATGATAATGCAATGAAACTGAAATTGAAGATATCTTAAAGATACTCTAATGAAACAGAACTTCAATAATATTATTAATATCGAAAATTCATTTAAAAAAAAAAAAAAACAAAAAAAAGTTAAATAATACTTGTCAAATTAGGTAAAAATTTAAGACAAATTAAAAATAATAAATTAATAAGCCAAAACTAAAAGATACCTGAACTTTGGATTGATAGGCTTTATAGAAATTGCGCAGGTCCTAATATTAAAAATTCATAAAAAATTCCCTCAAAAAAGTTGCTAACAGATAAATAAGACATGTCAAATTATGTAAAAATTTAAGGTATCTTAAAGATACTTTCAAGTAAACAATATTTTCAGACACTTAAGCCAAAATGTCGTCAGTTGTATTATTATTTAAGCAAATAAATTTGACATTTCTTGAAATAAGAAAGCAGACTTTTTGAAAAAGGCAGTAAGCACTTAAAAGTACCTTAAAGATGCTTTAATGACGCTGCAATAATCATAATGATGCAAAAATACTTACTTAATTTAACAAATAATTTTTTAGCTTGTCATTGTGACTATTCACACATTTGCTTAAGTCAAAATGTGAAATATTAGTTTAAATGATTCTGATTGATTCAAAAAAACTAAACAATAAAAATTAAAAAAATGATTAAAAATTTGAAAAAAATTGAGAGAATTTGAGATACGTTTTTTTGAATAAATCATTTAGATATTTAGATCTTTAATGTTCATATAGGTAAAAACAATATTGCTTTAAAATATAACAATTTAATAATATATTATCATTTATTAATATAGTATAATAAAAAGAATCGAAAACAATTTAAAAATAATATTTTAATTAGCTGGATCGCAGTTAAATGTATTTCAATTGAAATCTTAAGCACCAAAATCTTTAAAAGTTCATAAAAAATAAAATATGAATTAAATTAAATTAAGGGCTTTAGTATGAAGCATAACATTAAAAAATGTATTAATATTTTAATTTATTTTATGTATTGGACACTTCAAGCAGCTTAATATTTTGTTAACTATATTTGAACACAAAATCTATGCAGATACATATATATAAATTTATAAATATATATATATATTTATGTACATATATCTAATATTGCGAATTGTATATACAAGTCCAAGGTCTAGCGAAAACTTTAATGACTGCACCTTTTTCACATTAAATTTTTATATTTTAACATTTATAAGCCATTAAGATATATGTAGAGATATATCTAAATATATATATATATATATATTAAGCACTCGAGTATCACAAATCACAACGGCTTAAGAGACAACACATTTACTTTTGCCTTTAGTTAAAGTCTTTAAGTCAAATTAATTTAAACTAGATTTTATTGAATTGTGTAAATTGGAAGTTCACTTACGATAAAATTATTTAATGAATTAGATTTAGTTTATTTGGCTTTCGAGCTAATTAGTTTTGGACACTCTATTTCAAGCTGTCAGCGCGACTGCTGAACGACAACTGAGCGTGTGTCGCGGCGCACAGATACTATATATACATACATACATACATATATACACATACATAAGAGGCTAGTTGCGGCAGATCGTATCGATTGTTCGTTGTCTGTTGTCTGTTGTCTGACTAATCGGGCGATCTGCCTGCAGTATATCTGCTGGGCCTGCTTGGCATGCCGAGCAGCGACAGCGACTCCGGAGACGCAATTTGAGCAATTGATCGCTCAGTGCTTATTGTGGCTGTCATGCGTGCCTGGATCGGTCCCTAATTGGAGGCATCCGTGACGTTCTAGTGCCCGTTTGATTAGCTCATTGTGAGAGCTGAGTGGAGCTGGCGACCATTTGCTGTTGTGTGTGGCTGTTAGATGCGTTAATTTGCACTCGACAAAAAGCAAAGCTCGTCGCACACTCAACATAACAGTGCAACTCAAGTAAGTACTTCCCTAAAGCCTATTAAGGTTCGCACACAACTGGGAAGTGCTAATGGCTGACCATGGTCAATGCCCAAGTCGAACTATCTGCTGTTTGTATAGCAAAGTTTCTGCTGTAAGCCAGACGCGAAGTCTGCTGTACTGCGAGCAAGTCTGTCAGACAGACCTTAGAAACATCTCACATACAGCCTACTCCAAACCCCTCATAGATTTCACATCTAAACACTTTATATGCAAACTTAAGCACTAAAGACCTGATAAGAGTATATTAGTTTTGTTTCTTGAAATTTGATTTGTATGCTAAAGTTGTAAAGTGTCAAGTGGGGCATTACGAATCAAGAATTACTTCAACTCTTACGAAAAAAATTATATTAGTTATGGCTCTACAGATAAGCTACTTGGATATACTAAAGGGCGTGGCAAATCGAAGTAAAACAAACTCTTTTAACAGCTAGGATTACCTAGTTGAAAAAAGTTAATTAGGAAATAAAATATATATATTTCGGAGCGTGAACAGGTATTAAGCAATCAGTAGTGCCCTACTGCAAAGTGCTTATAGATGAGGGCTGTAAATACTTTACAGCTTGTTCAGTACCCCATCAACAATTACTTAAGCTCTTCACTCTGCTAGTTTTGGCTAAGCTTTTTTGATGTTTCAATCAGTTTTAACTATTAACTTTTAGAGGGCATTCAGTTCGAGCTTAACTAATTCTGTATAAATTTTGACATATTTAAGTGCATTTTTAACAAAAAATAATAATAATAAAAATGATATATATATATAATATATAACTATATGTAATATTAAATTTATTTATTTAAAATTGATTTTAAATATTTTTAGAATAAATTTAATTTGTCTGCTTTGACTTTATATTTTAGATTTAAGATTCACGCAGTGCCTTTTGATATGAATTGTAAAGCTGAGTTGGCTACAAAATTGATATCCGACTTAGTTCGCAGTTTCGATTGCTCGTTAAAAATCAAATGGACTTCGGGCCTTTTAATTTTACAATTTAAATATGTTTTAGACAAAGCCTTAAGCATTATTTCTGATTGTGTCTGCCTGCTTGAATTGATTAAAAACTTAATTTAATTTAACTCTGCAAGTACTAAGCTAGTTTGGCTTTGGTTACAGTTGATGCTAAGAATCTCAAATGAGTTTTCGCTCCAAATATTTGCCACTTATCAAAACAAACTTCAGCTCTCCGAATAAAACTTTCTTTTATCTCACTCTCTTTTTCAGAATTCTACAATCCAAGTAGCTTTAAGTTTCTTATGATAATATGATTGTAATTTATAGTTAGCTCTCGCAACTTAACACGATTAATATGCCGCACACGATATTTAGTGGATTTCAATTGATTTACTTTAAGCTCGGCTTCAAGTCAGGAAGTTTAATTCAGAGACTTTGGGGCGTGACTGTGATGACGTCGATGACGTGCTCAACTTGTGAATGCAGGCAGCAGGCAGAAGCAGCTGATGGAGCATTTGCATTTAGAAAGTCAGCTCAGCTCGATCTTCGTATAGAAGTGAATCAAATTTTCAATACTCACTCTGGTTGCGAGCCTGGGGCGACTGCTGCGATCACAGCTTAAGATGCAACTGAAAACTGAAAACTGAAAACTGAAAGCGAAATCAATGAGAGTTTCAGACAGACAGACTGACAGCCAGACTGAATGATGTCTATGGGCTTCTGCGCAATGTGCACCCATTGAAAATGTTTAAAAAGGGTATATTGTTTCTGTGCAAATGTATGTAACAGGCAGATAGATGCAATGCCGACCCTGCGCTGAAGACTTTACGACTGTTCTATCTTCTTCTGTTCTATTCATCTATAGAACTTTCTTTTCTGATATCTCAGCTCATTTATCATCCCCTTTTCTTCCAAAATTGAAAAATAACTTCATTCTGAAGTTATATTATAAAAGTTATTCAACTTATTAACCTTAGAGTGAAACAGTAGAATGAGAGTGTTTGTGTGCAATGAAAAGTTCAAGCGTTCAGGGTATATTCTAGTCGAGTACTCCCTACTAGAGCACTCTTATTTGATTGGTTGCTGTTGCAGTTGATGAAAAGCGACTGAGCCGGTTTAACCGAAGTTGATTTTTGTCACCGTTTTTACAGACTACACAACAGTTTCCTTGTTGTCGCTATACTCTGTAAGCATTTAATGCATGATGGGTATATACATATGCAGAAAGTCCATAGGATTTATGAATTGATATTAATAGATATAGGGCATTGACTGCAATATTTATAGATATGTAATCATCAGGAAAACTGAATATAAGTATTTATTCTATATATAAAAAACTGAATGAAATGCTTTTTTTCAAGATTTCTTATTATCCATAAGTACGATTTCCAGTTTGAATTATGCTTTACAGGATATCTCTTAGCTGATCGTCATGTGCTCAGCATGCCACAGAATTGAATATATCCGGTCTTTTGTCACATATTATGCACTCGATTCACAATTGCAAAAGCAACGCATTCAACAGGCTGTTTATGTGTGTAGGTGTGCTTGCGGTCAATGTACAGGCAAGAAAACGAATTTAAGCTTAAATTACTTAATATCTAAGCATAATTGACTTAGAATTTTAAACATATTATGTAAGATTTAATTGGACATTAAACTCGACACTATAAATAATATTCCTATATTAATTGAAATGAAAAATTTGTACCTATATTTTTATACATTTTTAAGTAATAATAAGAAAAGAATCTATGTAAATTTCTCTAAGAAACTAAATATGTCTGCCAAGAATTCTAATTGGATAATTTGAGCATTCTTCACAACAAAGCAGTGCAACGGCCTGCAAGCAGTTGCTCAATTTTGCGTTAACGTTGTTTCTTGATTTAATACTACAAATTATATATACAAAGTTAAATAGCTTCAAAAGTAAGTACTAAAATAATTAATATTTTAGATTCAACTTAAATTTTTATATTTATTGGGCCTTTCAAAATTTCAGCTTAAGCTGGGTTTATTTATTTGATTTCAGCATTTTGTAATTGAGTTATTAAATATTATTATTTGTTTTTAACAGTTTGCTCTAGTAAATTGTGGCTTTTGAAATATTTTTTATTTTATTTTAGTATTTTTTCCGTATCAGCCAACTATGCAGCATACTTGAATAATACTGAGACTTTTAACAGTGCTGTGCACAACCGTTCGAAATAACATGGCCATTTTGAGTACAACAGCGACTCATGCGAACACTAACATTGTGCAACACTGTAACATTGCGACAGTAAGAAGAAGACGCTATAAGCAACAACATCGGAACGCGCACAATACACACGAAAAACAAGTCGAACAAAATAACCAATATTTTTGTGTCGTGTGTTTTCACGCTTGGATGTGCAATATATGCAATTTACTCATCAGTGCTTAAATCGTGACAAAAAGATTTGCATTTAAACAAAGCAAAATACTCAAATTGACACCAATACACCCACACACACATATATATATATATATGTATGCTGGCGCACAAAGTGGAGCGTTTTGCCAGGGGCTGCTGTTGCTGCTGTTGATTGCTGCTGCTGTGGACAGCAGATAAACAATGAAAGGTGCAAGTGAATCAAATTGTGCACAATTTTTGTTTCAATTACTATTATGTGCAGTACATGTTTCCGAGTGTCGCGCGCAAGATGAAACGCTGCATGCGACAACGAAAACAAAAACAAAATAACAAGGTCAACAACAACAACAACAATAACAAACACAACAGCAAGAGCAATAATAACACGCAAATACATCTATATGTGCATGGACAAGAAGCGAAAAGAAGAAAACAAGAAATATCGTAACAAAATACACTGAACAATCGTGCGGCAAAACAACTACAATCAAACCGTTAAATGCCCAAACAGCTCAGCCAGCCGTACTGTACATCCCCCTCGCACCCACACATTTAACATAACTGTGCTGCCGCAAAGGAATAACAGCGCAATCAAAAACAACAACAGCAACAGGAAATAGAAGAGCTGCTAGCAAAGCAACCACCGAAATGTCGTCGCTCAAGGTTGCCGTAAGGGTTCGCCCCTTTAACTCGCGGTAAGTGTATGCAAGCAGTGCCCTTTGCATTCGTATTGGAATTCGCACACTAGTTCTAACTAGAACTGATAAAGCGGCCATTTGTGAACGCCCCTCGATTGGCCTGTTGCGCATCCCGTTTAAATACTTAAAAACAGCAACAAAAAAAAAACATTTGCGTTGCTGACGTTGTCAGATTGTGATTTTTTAATTTTTCTTCATACTGCTACTGTTTTTGTTTTTAACCGAGCGCTGGAAAGTACATTGGCCCAAACTTGCCCAACGGCGACTCAAAAGCACATTAAAAATATTTACTATGCGTGTGTGTGTGTGCATGATTATCTTGTCCAACTTGACGCGCTCGTTGCTTGTGGCACATTTAGTTGGCTTAGACGTTCATGAAGCGCAAAGATTTTTTTTTGGCAACGGCGCAGCGAACAAAGCAACAAAGCTGAAACCCTAATGATGTCATTCATCTCATACGCTTGGCTTCGATTAAGACAGAAAAAACAAGCAAATGAGTTAATTTCTTTTTCATGAC